AAACCCTAATAAACCCTAAAACCCTAATAAACCCTAAACCCTAAACCCTTATTTTCTCGAGATCCGGGTTAGGTCGATCACCTGAGGAGCACCCTTGTTTCAGCCACAGCTGCACTGCATCCGGCGCCTCCTATTTGACCAATGGTGTTGCAGGAACTGTCCCGGTTTGCTGCCGGCGTTTGACCGCCCCTTTGTGACTGGCCAGCTCCCGTCTCGGCTATTGGGGGCGCCCTCCGTCGGCGTGGGGGCATTTGCGGGGGATCGACCGCGGGGGCCTGTGATTGTCCCATCCAGTGATGATATACCAGAGTCGGAACTGCTGTCATTCCATCCTTGCATAAAGCATCATTATCATCATCCGCCGCCGCCAAGAACCCGTGGGGGTGCTCCCAAGGGGACATATAACCCACCGGCCAACCCCAACCGGCACCCATTGACCACTTTATTTTATCCACCACACCCGCAGACCTGACACCATGGACTCCAAACCTTTAGCCATCCATAACAAGGGTACTTCCAGCAAACCCCCCCCACTGACTGACATCCAACACACCCGGGTGCCCCTCACAGAGAAGGAGAGCAAACGGATCGCCCGCAAGACCGACCAGACCATCCTGGTCGTCCTCATCTGGGTGTACTTCCTCCAGATCCTCGACAAGTCCGTGCTCGGATTTGGCGCCACCTATGGGCTCGAAACCGACACCCATCTTACCGGCGACCAGTACTCGCTGGTCGGGTCCATCGCCCCGATCGCCCAGCTGGCGTGGCAGCCCTTCTCGTCGTGGCTCATCGTGACGGTGCCCCCACGCATCCTCATGCCGACTCTGGTGCTCGGCTGGGGCGTCGCACAGACCTGCATGGCAGCCTGCCACAACTTCCAGGGACTGATGGCGACGCGGTTCTTCCTGGGCCTCTTCGAGGCGGGCTGCCTCCCGCTCTTTGGCATGCTCACCAGCCAGTGGTATCGACGGGTCGAGCAGCCCATCCGCGTCGCCGCATGGTACGGCACCAACGGACTGGCGACAATCATCGCCGCGCTCTTGTCCTTCGGGCTCGGCCATATCAAGTCCAGCGTGATGAAGGAGTGGCAAATGTACATCCTCACACGTCCATATCTCTTCCGGGGCCTGCACTGACACCTGCCAGAATCTTTCTCTTTGTCGGCCTCCTCACGATCATCTCCGTCCCCTTCGTGTACTGGCGACTGGACAACGACATCCCATCCGCGCGCTTCCTCACCCCCCATGAAAAGCTGCAGGCCATGGAACGGCTCCGCGCGAACCAGACCGGAGCCGGAACCCGCGAGTTCAAGCTCTCGCATGTGTACGAAACCGCTCTGGAGCCCAAGACGTATCTGTGGGTCAGCATGGCGCTCCTGCTGAACATCGGAGCCTCCGTGGCGAACGTCTTCGGGCCACTGATCCTCAGCGGTCTGGGATACGATACATACACCACCACATTGCTCAACATGCCTTTCGGGGCCGTGCAAATCATTGTGATTCTCCTGGCGAGCTATCTCGCGCAAAAGGCCAAATTGAAGGGGATCATCCTGGCGATCCTGATGCTTCCTGTCGTGGCGGGGTTGGCGATCCTGTACGCCGTGCCACGGAACACCCCGTCCTCGGACGGAGCACTCATGGCGGGATACTATCTCATCGCGTTTCTGTTTGGGGGCAATCCGCTGATTGTGAGCTGGATCGTCGCAAACACGGCGGGCACGACGAAGAAGTCGGCGAATATGTCGCTGTACAATGCCGCCGTGTCGGCCGGGAATATTATCGGGCCGCTGTTGTTTAACTCGAATGATGCGCCGGCGTATCGGCCGGGGTTGCGCGCGTGTGTGGGGATTTTTGTGGCTCTGATCGCGGTCTTTTTGGCGCAGTGGGTGGATTTGGTGGTGTTGAATCGGCTGCAGGCGAAGCGGCGGGTGCGCAATGGGAAGGCCGCGCGGGTCGTGGATCTATCGATGCGCGAACACGAGGTGGCGGCAGCAGAAGCAGAGGAGGAGGAGGAGAGAGGGGCGCATGCGGGGGGGGAGTTGGCCGATCTCACTGACCGGAAGAATGATGAGTTTGTGTATGTTTATTAGAGGGAGGTTGAACTCGGGGCTTAATGGAATGAGATCATTGGGGATTATGAAACAGAGGCGGAGCGAAGGAGAACTGTAGTTAGTTAGTTAGTTAATGTCAGTGCTGGAGCTAGTTTTGGCTCTTGATGGCAAATAAATTTCCCCTATCATCACAACAGCCCGGCTAGCTCAATCGGCAGAGCGTGAGACTCTTAATCTCAAGGTTGCGGGTTCAACCCCCGCGTTGGGCTTTTCTTTTTTGTTCTTTTTTTGTTCTTTTTTGAAAGAATCTGTCAGTCAGCCTTGGTTGTTCCAAGCAAGAAAGAAGTCTGTGTCTGTGCTACTGTGTGTCTTACTTAGTGCCTTGTCTCAGTACCTCTCCCAATTTGGAGAGCAAAAAAGAAAGAAACAGCGAAGACGTGGGGCCGTCGCAGCTTCTCATGCAGCCCGCTGTCCTCCCGAAGACGGGCTGGCATCGATCTTCTTTTATATTGAACAGTTGGAGCGCAAAATATATATATATGATGTAATAGACATTGAATAATATATTATTTTATTCATTAAGCGTGGAGGTGGCAGAGAAAGCCGATCAGGAAGATATTAAAGGTCTATTGCTTGAATTCAGCGATTAGCAGGATTCGCACGGGGTATATATGTATATATACTGTAAATATATTAATCAATATAACCCCCCCCCCCAAGACCCGTACTGATCACCCAGCCACTTGCAGTATACTTGTGATAATATAGAAATACTAATATAATTTGACTTTCAGTCGAAATTTTTTTTTTTGATTTCGGTATATCTTGTACTTGTGGGATATTATCTTCTCCGGTCTTCTCTAATTCCCCTCGGCCTTGATTATTATTATTATTATTATTGATCGGTTAAGTTTCTATTATTTCTATCCTGCAGTATCCATCCCAGACGACCAATGTCGCCCATCGATGACGTACTTTTCCTACCCTTCACTTTCAATTCATCGGACCCTCTTCCGTCCTCCCATAGCCGTCGGTCTTCACTTCCCCAATTATAAGCTCAATGACCGGCAACCAGGTTTTTCTCTCCCTAACAAACTGTTAATATAATAGCCCCCAATAATATAATTTAACCAGATCCACCAAAGTCATACCAAATCAAAGCAAAGACATATATCTTAGATAAAGAGCCCCAGAGTGAAGACATAATATTTCGAGCCGATAAATCACAGACTCAGCTGCCATTAACTGTGATATGCGTAGCTTGCATTATGAATAAACATAAAACGCCTGTTCCGACTCCTGCCGGCCAAGAACCTATACTGCGCTGCCTATTATTTCCGCTGTCAATCCATGGTATCCCTACTCGGTAGGCCCCTGGCCGGGAATTACAGTGGGACATGGACTATCGTGGTGCTGTGCCATCCCTCCTTATTATTTACAGCTTCTAAAAGACCAGCACATACGACCATAGGGTGTGGAGAACAGGGCTTCCCGTCCGCTCAGCCGTACTTAAGCCACACGCCGGGAGGTTAGTAGTTGGGTGGGTGACCACCAGCGAATCCCTCCTGTTTGTATGTTTTTGCTCACCTGGCCTTTACAGCCAGATTGATGAGCGCCCCAATCAACCATGGTCTGGAATCGCCTTTTGACCGTTCCACCCCCACTGGATATTCCTAGGCCAGTCTCAATCCCTGTCCTCCTCCTCCTCCCCCGGCCGGGATAGATAGGGCTTAGACCTTGGCGTACAAAACGAGGTCGGAGGAAGAGAGAGGCGTGGCTCTTAGGGCCCAGACTGAGGGGTTCAGAAGGTAGATAGATATTCTGGTCTTATCTTGAATACTGCTGAGCGGGATGGTCAGCACCCTTTCGAGACTCGGCGGGGCGAATCGAATTGATTCAATTCAATTCAAGTTCTCGCAGCCTGGTAGAGCCCACTGTTTGTGCTAGCTAGATAAACATAGGCGCTTCTCCCGTGAAGCAGGAACTTGATATCATACTCCCAAAACTCTCTTGCGGTCGGGACATATCTGCCTCTGGAGGATGTTTAATCCCAGATTATGATAACTTGGCTTCTGTCGATGGGAACCGCTATATAATCAAAGAAAGTGCAAGGCTTGTTTATACAGAGCAGTAGAACTACTAGTTTCTGTCAGACTCCTTTCCTAGATTATTCTTTCCAGGCATCCGTTCTCTTTCGTAAACATTCATAACAGAACAGAACGGATAGTGATATATATACATACCAACGCCTGCTCATCTTAGCAGGCAAATTCGAAATATGGACAGCTTTCTATAACACTATGCGTGCACTCATGGAAGTATGCACACATCCTCCCCCACACCAGTACTAGTATTTATTAGGGTTACCTCTCGCTACATCGCCACAGCAAGAACATGCAAAAGCAACCCCCCAACCAGCAGGCTAGCCACCACCTGCACCGACGATGCAGACCCGGTACGAAGCTCCTTGATCATATTTTCGTGCCGGAAGGTGGGTCCCGCCGTGCGCGTGGGAATTGGGGAGCCGGAGGGGATGATCGCCGCGGAACTGGGCGTGCCGTGTGCGTGTGCGATGGAGGAGTAGGGGGGGATTTGAGACGCGGCAGGAGAAAAGGAAAAGGATGCGTGTGAGTGGCTGCTGTTCCAGGTGTGTCCGTTGGAGACCGGGGGAAGGGGGCGAGTGCCGAAGGGAGGAGGATTAGGCTGCTCTCCGCTGCCCTTGTGGTTGTAATTAGGGCTCTTTCCTTCCGCGCCACCGGCCGCAGAGACGACCGTCGTTGTCTCTCCTCCGATGGCGGTGATCGTCACGGTGGATTCGGCTCCCGCTGTAGCGGTCGCTGTGCTTCCATCCTCCTCCCCCCCACTTCCTCCCTGTCCTTTCTCTCCCGTCTTTCCACTTGAAACTGTCGAGAAGTCTTCATCCCCTCCAGCGACCGTTGCCGTCGTGGTCACTCGAGCGGGATATACCGTGGTGCCCGTCGCGACGACCGTCTCCGTCGTCCGGAGAGTCGTGGTCACTTCGCCTTCGGAACATCCATGTTCATGCGACGGACAAGCCGTCACAGTAACGGTGACCGGTCGAGTGACGTACAGCGTCTCGGTGGTGAGGTAGACTGAAACAGCCGGTGCCGGTTCGGGTTCCGGGTGCGCGGATGCGATCTCTGATTCGGGCCGGGTGGTGGTCTCGCTTTCCGGGTGCTGGCCCTCCTCGCCCTGTGAGAATGATGACGTGACCACTGCCGGCAGTGTCGGCACAGTCCCGTCCGTGATGGTCGTGGTGTGGGTGGCAAGAGTCGTCGTGGTGAGACGCGTGGTTTTCTGGTGCGCAGAACAGTCGGGGTTGGATGTCGGACAGGCGACGAGGGTGAGGATTTCGGTCACGTAGATGGTGGAGATTGTGGGGGTATCGCCGTTCGATGGAGAGGATCCGACGTGCACGGGAGGGATCTCCGTGGGAAGGGACGAGGGAAGGGTGGTAGGGTGTGCCTCCGCAGTGACGGGGCAGAGGGTGGTGTAGGCCATCACGGTCTCGGTCGTGATCATGGTCGTCCGCTCGGAGGCAGGGCAGTTCTTGACGGACTGCGGGCATGCGGTGATGGTGTGCACGGATGTGATATATACCGTGGACGTGGTGAGCGAGGGGGAGCTGGCATTGTCGGTGGGCTGTGTCGTTGTTGGATTCGTGGTCGTCTCGCTAGGGATGAGGGCAGGGATTGTGTTGGAGGGGTTGGAAACGACACTGGTTGCGGATGAGAAGATCACAGAGGACAGCTTTGTGGAGCCTGTCGACGCGTGGGAATGTGAAGCAGTTGCGGAGAGGGTGGCGGAGACAAGCCCGAGAGCTGGGAGACTGCTGGATGCCACGGAAGGCGACGAGGAAGAGTGGGGGGACGAGGCAACCCTGGTGACTGGCGAGGATAAAGCAATTGGCCGCACAAATGTTGATCGTGAGACCGGGTGGACCGAAGCTGAAGAGGAATGGAATGGCGGTGCAATGCTGGATATGAGAGAAGAAGAAGAAGAAGAAGAAGAAGAAGAAGAAGAAGAAGATAGGGGGGCCGAGACAACCCTAGAAACGAGCGAGGATGAAGCAATCACCGCCACAGAGGACACTGACCGTGAGGCAGGACGTGTGGAAGCCGACGAGGAGGGCTGAGAGAGCGGAGCAATACTGGAGACGGGCGAAGACGAAACAACAGCCACCGGAGAGGATGCAGAATGCGAGACTGAAGCGGAAGAAGAGGATTGGGAGAGCCGAGAAAGGCTGGAGATGGGGGAAGATGAAGCAAGTGCCGGTGCAGAAGAGGCAGGGCTGGAGATCGCGACCACTGATGATGATGATGATGATGATGAAAAGGGTGACACGATCGCAGAGCTTGATAATCGCGAGGAGGACGAGGTTGTCAAGCCAGCTGGGGCCGATGAAGACGGTGTGATAGCAACCACCAACGACGAGGGGGGCATCACCACCACAGGGCTGGATGACAGCAAAGATGAGGTGGTTGGTAAGACAACAGGTGTCGACGCTGATGGCGCTGGCGCAATGGTCAGCACCGACGAGGTTGTAGGGACCGGGGTCGAGGAAGAAATCGAGAGGGTCACGGTGGAGACATAAGTTGTGGTATATTCGACGGTGGAGGTCTGCAGGGAGGTGGCGGTCGAGGTGTGGGTGAGGGTTTCGATGCACGGGTTGGTGGTGTAGGGAATGACCACCGCGGTGGTGGCCGCACTGCCCGCCACCAGAGTGGCCGACCCGCTGATGATATCACACCAGGTAAGGGCCCCCGACTTGAAGAACTCGACGCCATTGCAGGTCGAGGTGTGGTATTCGCAGACCGAGACACATTTGCTGAAGCCGTAATCTAGATACGAGTGGATGGTGCTGCCACCGGTCATCGCAGAGGATGAGCAGATGGCGCTGTAGTAGCGGCCATTGGCCGACCAGGCCATGTCGGTGCATGAGGCACCCGAGGGAGGGACGGTCCCCGGCGTGCAGGCCGTGACACTGGTGATGACCGAATAGTCGCTGGTGATGGTGTTGGTGACGGTGTCGGTCGAGGTCGCGGTGATCGTCGTCAGCGACAGACTGGCCGCCGCCCACGACCCCGGCACCAGGGTTAGGGTTAGTAGAAGGGGGGACGATCGCATGTTCCTGATGCTAGGTACCCTCAGGGAAGGCTAAAACGAGTGACAGTGGTACAGCATTCAAAGCAAAAAAGCCAGAAAAGATATTGGTTCAGGCAGAATCCCCCAAGACTTTAAAATCCAGCCCCTGGGGCATGGATGAAGTGGGCGTCGGCTATTTCTGCCCTGTTTCTTGCTGCATCGCCACTAGCCATCAATAATCGCCAGGAACAGGGAGTCCGCCTCAGCTGCTGGGATTCTCAATTACCTCAAGTGGGACCATCACTCGGGGAGGGAATTTGGAGCGAGAGTAGAAACACTTCTGCTATGATTGCTGTTTGATCCTGGGCTGCAGAATAGACCACCAACTGGAGTCGCTCAATAATAACCACCACCATCATCATCTTCTTCAAATCGACACAACATCAGTGTCACTCAAAAGGCTTAGCCGCGGGTTTATCTCCTGCCAAGGGGTCCGAGTCCCACAAATCGAATCCGTCATTATCCATCGAGTCTCGCCCCTGGTGTGGCATCGGAAGCCGCAGGTTGCACCCCTACTTGGTCAGTGCCAGAGTGACAGTGAATCACAAGCTATTAAGAGTCAATTTTTTTCAGCTCTGATCCCCACTGTAGATCCACGAAAGAAGTTCCTGCTTGAATATTCCTGTCAAAGTTACAAGGCATTGGATGTGTTGGATGTCCAAGAGTACTCTACAATGAAAGCTTGTCGCCCAGGCGGCCAATAACATCTCGGTAACACACAGCCCTAAAGAGGACGATAAGATTCAAGAAGCTGTCGCTCCACCTTGAGGAAGACCAAGGTTGGTACAGAGGGCCGGATGATCTAGATGCCCACGGGAACATTTCCTCGCCTTGATTATCAAATTGATTCTGAGTGTGAACCAATCTTCTTTCAGACCCTCCCTCGCCCCTTCCCCGGCCACCAAGACTCGAAGAAACACACCGATACATCTATCGGTCATAAAATACAACATTTATGGGGTTACGGTCCGAAGGTTTCATCCATCTGGATGTGGCCAGATCCCCTCAACCATGGATGAGAGCCATCGTCCCGTCGCTGGCACCCTCCCAACAGACGCCATCCTCCGGTCGCAAAAAAGGCCACTATGAAGGGCCTTCCTGGTCGGCGACCCGTTGTCGGACCGTACAAAGAGGCGGTGATGTCAACCTCGTATCCCGCATCCTGTGCTACCACATGCACCATACGTCTTCCACAAGCTCGGAGGATCCGGCGACGGTCAAGCCAGACAACTTGGGACTTTCTCCACAGGCCCTGCTCACGTTGACAGATCGCTTTCAGGATGCGTCATCGGTGGTGGTTGGCATCGACCAGCTTTCCCGTCCTGGCGGTATTTGCACCCGTCCGGAGGTCGGATATTGGCGGCTAAGAAGGAAATACAGGGAACCATGGGCGCCATGGCAACGATGTTCAATATCTGCGCTGTCTGTCAGGGATGGCAAGAAATAGTCTACCCCGGTGCGAGGATCACGATTCTGGCCCAGCCTGCTTGGTGTGTCAGGTCACCCCCTGCCCCGAATCCTCATCCACCCTGTGTATTGAAGCTAAATGATCAACTCCTCTAGGGCCGTGGTTCTCAAAGCCATATCACTGGCAATATCCGCAACGGCACATCTCATGCTCTTACTGACCATGAGGCTGAAATGGGATATAGTCAAGGGGTTCGTCGTGACGACGTCCCTCTGGTGTGCGTCCTCGGCGATCCTCTTCAGCGTCGTGGGTGTCATCACGCAACAACCTCCCCCCGTCACGCCGCCGCAAACCTGGCGATATACACAGAATTTCTACTACGCCATCTTCGCCGCGGCTCTCTACATTCTGATCGGATTGCTATTGACGAGCTACGCCGGCAGCGTCCGCCCCGTCCATCTGAGCCTCAAAGACCGAAGATCCGTCGAAGACACAAGCATCATTCTGCGGGCGTTGACGCTGGCCACTTTCCTGCTCGGAGGCGCCGCCATATACACCCCCATCGAGGGATGGTCGCTCACGGACGCGCTGTATTGGGCCGTGTACACCGTGTTAACGGTAGGGATTGGGAACATCGCCCCCAAGACCCACCTCGGACGAAGCCTCCTGTTTCCATACGCCACGGCTGGCATCACGTCTCTCGGTCTCTTCGTCGCCTCGATAGCGTCGTTCTCGACCAAGATGGGAGAACTGCATCTTCGCTTTGAGCTCGAGCAGGAAGGGATCCACATCCATGAGGTGCCCGTTGCAGGGGAACAGTCAGTAACGACCCATGAGAAGGACGGGCAGTCGGCACAGCAGGCAGAGCATCTCCAACTGCCCCGGAAGGCCGATGTCCTCAAAGGAAAACGGATCAAGTCCGAATTCCATCGCAGACATCGGTGGGTGGTGTTTATCTTCTCCGCCGGAGCATGGCTGCTCCTGTGGCTCGTCAGTGCGCGGATCTTCCGGGGCTCCGAGAAAGGCCAGGGGTGGACGTACTTCGACTCGCTCTACTTCACGTTTGTCTCGCTGACGACGATCGGATACGGCGATCTCTACCCGACAAGCAATTTTGGCAAGGCCTTTTTCGTGTTCTGGGCTCTTCTGGCCGTTCCGGTCATGACGACGCTGGTCGGGGTGATGGGCCAGCTGGGATTCCGCACCGTCACCTACTTCGTGCGCCGCCTGGGGAGATGTTGTCCCGGCAGGCATGCCGGACGCCGTGTCAAAGCCTTTCTGGGGAGTCGGAGGCTGAACAGGCCGGCACGGCATCCATATCCTGGGATATCGCCCAGCTCGGATGTCAACTTGGACATCGAGAGCCAGGCCCACAAGGTTCTAGATGCGACCCATCCGACCAAAGAAGTACAAGAATTCCAGACAAATGAACAGCTGGAATTTGTCGGGCCTGCGCAGCACACGCTCTCAATCGGCGAGCAAATCGAGAAGCTGGTGGACATCCTCAAGGACGATGTCATGCAGGTGGATCTGCACCGCGAATGGGCGCGCATCGTGCCCTTGCTCAGTCTCGAAGGGGGTGAAGAAGACCCCGGGTCCTCGCAGCCCAAACGTCCACGGGGGAGCCATCATCGACCGCAGGTGGTGAGGGAGGTGCTGGATGCCAACCAGTCGGAAAGCGAGCGGAACAAGGAGCTGCTGTGGATGGTGAAGTTGCTCATCGAAAAGCTGTGCTCCCATCTCCGCGAGGAGGTCCGGGGAGGAGAACAAGAATAAGTTGACTGAATCAGGGCTACTGACTCGGGGGGACCGGGGCCTGACCTCGGACCCGGACCCGACCTCGGACCCGAACCCGAGCCCGAGCCCGGAAGCGGCGATCGTCGCCACCCCCACCCCGTGCGACACGTGACCGTCTCGGGCCACCTTCTCCCCCGCCGCCCCGCCGCGTCTCCAACCCTCATTCCCCCCCTGGCATCGACAGACATTAATAAACATGCATGGTTGGCATCTTCGCATCCACCCCCCCCATCCCCAATGGACTCCACTGGCCTCTCAACCTCATCCCGCCCAGTCACCACCTCCTGTCGGCCCTGTCGAGCCTCCAAGCGTCGGGTCAGTGCCACTCACTTCCTCTGCCTCTTTCGTGCTGATGCTCAGACAAGACAGTGTGACCGGGCCAAGCCCCGGTGCTCGACCTGCCAGAAGGGCGAGAAGCTGTGTGTATATGACACTGAGGCCAAACCACGCAAGTATGCGACTCATTTCATTGCCACCAAGGGGACCGTGTCACCCGAGGCTAATGTGTTCCCAGACGAAAATACTGGGACGAGGATTACGTTCGCTCTCTGGAGCATCAGGTCCAGACTCTGCTGGCGCTGCAGGAAAACCGCGGCCATTCGATCTCATCGGCATCGGATCCCTCTTCCATTGTAGACTGTGACGCATCAGGCGCATCGGATGCCGAGATCAACATCCCGCATGTGAAATCCCCTCGTCGCTCCAAGCCCGCAGATGACGGAAACATCGAGGACCGATCCTCGGTTGCCATGGAGGAGCTGAGCACCATGATGTGGCGGACGAACCTAGGCGACGGGGTGACCATCGTCAACGAGGAGCATGGCAAACTGGCCATTGCCAATGCAGAAAGGAGACATCCTGCCCAACCGGACTTCCAGCTGCCACTCGAGATGGTCCCCTACTGCGCAGACCGTGGCCGTCTCCACCGACTGGCCCGTCTGTTCCTCGAAAACATCAACGGTGAGCATCAGTTCACCCCGTATAGATCCACCGACTTTCTCGTCGATTATCCGAATCAGCCCCGGGACCAGGTCTTCCTGCACAGTGCGATGCTCGCCACGGGAGCGACCTTTGAACAGGCACCGGACTCCCTGCTGGTAGGGGACACCTTTGCCGGCCTCTGCGAAAGCCTCGCCTTTACCTGCGTCCGGCAGAATCCATCCCTCTCCCTCATCCGGGGACTCTGTATTCTCTCCTGGCGCTCTCTGGCCCTTGGACGCGACCAGTTCGGGTGGATCTTCCTGTCCATGGCCGCCGGCATGGCGGTCCACTTGCGTCTCCATGTGCTTGCCCTGGGGGAGTTCGCATCGCCCTCGGATCGAATGGGCTTACAGGAAGTACAGACCTTCTGGTCATTCTTCATGACGGATCGGACCTCGATCTCTATTCTGGGCCGCAATTGCGTCCTGCCGTGGCGGCGTGTCAACGTTCCCCCCATCGAGGCGTTTACTGCCGGCAACCAGGGAGATCTGATGAGGTTATCGTTTGCCTGGCAGTGCAAGATGTGGCATATGCACGATCGCAACATGGATCAAATGTATAGTTCCTCTCCACATCTTCTCGGTGTCAAGCATTGACTAACGTGGTCGCAGATTCTCGCACGCATTCGAAAAGCTCAGCTTCTCCAGCCAGGTCCAACTGCTCATCTCGACCCACGAGGATCTAAATACATTCATCAAGTCCTGTGACGAGCGCCTGCGGATGAACCGCGGCATCACGCCCAAGCCCGTGCTCCTTTTCCATATGGCATACCAGATGGCCATCCTGGTGACCATGCCGCCTTTCCTGCAGCTCTTCATCAGGATTAAAAACAAGCGGCTCGATGCCTCCAGTGCCATGTCTCTCGTTCTGCGGTCGATCAGCAATGCGTCCTCGTCGATGGTCCGCTTGGTCCATCTATACCGCCAGCACTATGGGTTCCGCCATGCAAACCCGCTGTTGATCCACCATCTCCTCAGCGCGGCGATCGTGAATCTGATGAATACCACGTCGAAGTCGCTCGCCTTGCGACGACACAGTACCCGCTCGGTGCGGAAGTGTCTGACCCTGCTGCAGGAGCTGAGGCTGCTCTGGCCTGTACGATGTGACAAGAGTATCGCCGTCATCACAGCGTTGGCCAAGCGATGGGGTGTGGAGTATGCGCTACAGTCCCAATTCGAGACGCCGCTTGAAGGCGACACTTGCGTTACCCAGCACCCCGAGAGGCATCTTCCACCCTCTACTAGTGGGCTATACCCGACGCCCGATCTCCTCCCCCCCGAAGCCTTTGGCGCGAACGAAACCCTCGGCTACGCGGGCCAACTGATCCCAGACTGGGACTTCTCCGCCGATCAACCACTCCTGGGCGTGGCCGACGTCGACATCTTCAGCTCCCTGCAGGGGTTCGAAAACATTGATGATTTGGGCTGGGCCTTCTGAAGAACAAAGCATCTCTCATTGCCACACTAACAAAGTACCTGCTACGCCCGGCTACTCCTGGCCCGCCACTTCCATCTCCTCCTCATACACGACCATCTTCTTGACCTTCTTGCACACGTTCAGCTGCATCAGATCAGGCCGGCTGTAGTGGCCCGTCCCATCCGCGAACATCTTCGTAGCCACAATCTGGTCCATGTCGAGATCCGCGTAGATGATTGTCTCCGTCGTCGCGTCGACAGGCTCCGTGAGCTTTCGGCCATCGGGCCCAAAGACCGCAGAGGATCCTCCCCCGGGGGACGACATCAGTGCCCCCCCGGCTGTCTTCATCCCATTCACCCCTTTCTCCGTGATGAGCGCGGTGCAGTGCATGACGAAGGTCTGGGACTCGATGGCGTAGGTCTGCGACAGACTTTGGCATCCTGGCTCTCGTCAGTACTTCCGGGGAGAAGACAATGAGCCCTGGATTCACGTTACCCTCCGCCGACATGGACCACAGATCACTCCCGCCCGAATGCGGCGTCAGGCTCGGCCACGCGGACACATGGATATCCTCTCCCTGCGATAGCGTCTGGAATTTTAACAGAGGCTGGATATGTTCCCAGCACGACAGGGCGCCGACTCGCGCAAACGGCAGCTCCGCCACGCTGGCGAAGCATTCGCCCGACGCGTCGCCGAAGATGGTCCGCTCCATATGCGTGGGCTTCATCTTGCGGCGGTGCGACCTGATCTCGCCGTCCGGTCCGATCAGCACCTGGGCGATGTAGACCGAGTTGTCGGCGTTCTCGGAGAATCCTAGCGACACGGCGATGGAATGGGTCCGGGCGCATTGTTGGATCCGGCTCATCTCGGGGGAGTCCAGGCGGAGCGAGTTCTTGATGTATCGGACGTTCATCTCCACGTCCATCAGTCGGCTCCTGGTCGGGCTGTCAGGGTCAATCCGGGGGAGTGATGCAGGTGGGGATCGACCTACCAGATCCAGCACGGATACCCTGGAATCCAACACTCGGGGAAGGCAATCAGGACGGCCTTGTTTCGCGCGGCCTCGGCGATCAGCTCGCAGGTCTTGGACACCCCTTCCTCCAGGTCCAGCCAGGCAGGCTCGGCCTGGGTGACCGCGACACGAACGGTTTTGGAGGGCATGATGAAATAAATGAATTGTGAATGGGCAAAAGTCGATGAGCACTGCAATCGTTGATGGTATACACTGTAGCAGACATATATATGTGTATACATATATATATATATATATATACATATATATTAGGGCTCCCGGAGCGCTTATCACTTCCCCGCCCCCGGCAATTCCCGAGCCGCGATAAAGTTGCGGAACCCAGACATCCGCACCCTAAACCCGGCATCACCGCTGCAGATCGGTGGCAGTCAGTCTCATGGCCTGGTCGTATAACGTGGTTATCTGCGGGGTGGAAACCTCCGCAGTGTATCTTTATCTCTCTATCTATCTATCGATGCATTATCTGCATCGATCTCAATCTTCAGGGTCTGGTTTGGTTGGAGTGGCAAATTGTGCATATTCATCAGTCAAATAGTCGGATCATGGTCGAACAGTTGGTTGGTCCTCGCCGGCATCGTCTATAGATAAAGCTGCGGATGCCACGGCCTCCGCACGAGAGAACTGCTCTGATTTTCGAGAATGATTCTCGATCGGGGGATGGTACCGTAGATAGCCAGCCCTCTGCGGGATCATACTGTCCGCAGCGTGGAAGCGGCGACTTGTTTTTCTCGGGATAGAAAAAAACCCTTTTATCGGATCAAAGTCGCCTCCCTGGCTTGCGGTTCCCTGTGTTTGTGGTTTAAGTTGTCTTCCAAATTATTTTCTTAATCATCTTCACACTTGCTTTCTACCTCTCACCTCCATATAAGCTGACAATGTACGGCGTTCATCTCCCCACCCCCGCAATCACCTACGCCGTCTTCGGCCTGCAATACACCACTGCGCCCACCCCCCGGCAATCAACCCTGATCACCACCTTCACCGACCTATTCACCACCCACCCTCCCACCTCCCTCACCATCCTGCTCCAGGATACCTCTTCCGCCAGCAACCCCCCCCGCAAAACCCACATCTGGCTAGCCTACTTCCCCACCCCCACCGCATACCAAACCTGGTGGGCCTCTCCCCCTGTCACGGCCTTCTGGTCCTCGCTCCCCCCCGATGCCGGCATGTGGCGCGAGGTTATCTCCCCGGGTCGGGAGTATACCCAGCACGGCACGAACGGTACGGAGCCGATCGGGATGGGCTGTCTCGGGGAGTCGATCAGTGTCGCGGATAAATCAGGGTACTGGGGGTGTTATCGCCACCGAATGGCGGCGGGGAGGGGGGATAGGATGAGGTCTGAGATCTCTGGGCCTGGATCTGGATCTGGACAGGTCACTCGGAGTCCTGGGGAAGACGGGGAGGGGGTTCGGTTGGGGAGGGTGCATATGACGGCTTTTCCTGACAACATGTGTTTTGTGGTCGAGGGGCAGGATCATTCCGCCGTTACTGGCAAAGAGAAGGGGGTGTGGTTTGAGCGGTTCGACGGGTTAGTGCGAACGTGGATTGACGATCTGGTGACCGCTGGGCCAGGTGAGGGGGTGTTGGGGGCCAGGATTTGTGGCGTTGCTGGGAGTGGGAGGTTTGCGGGCCCGGAGGCTCCGTCGGCGTCAGCGTCAGAAGTGGACTTGGACTCGCAGGAGGCATGGGAGGCGCTAGATTACAAGAAGAAGGTGCAGCTGTTTTGGTTCAGGGATCTGGGATCCATGGAGAAAATCGGGAGGCGCAACGCCGGGCATGTCAAGCTGAGAAGCAGCTTTCTGCAGGCCTATGGGCCGGGAGGGGAGCTGAGTGAGGGAGGGGGCATCAGGCTGTGGGTGGAGACGAGTGTGCTGAAGAGAGGCGAAGTCGAGTGCGAGTATGTTGGGTGCTGGGAGGGGACGGGATTCATGGCGCTTCAGGCGGAGGAAGGATTTCGCTAGGATTGGGAGGATCACCGATTGCGTATCTGCTGCGTATGGATTCTGATAGCCGGGTTGGTACGTTTATTAATGGTTTTCCACGGCATGTATGGAAGGGCTTTTGGCAATAACGGTATGAAGCCGATTGGGGTCAGGCTGCCATCCTTCATGTCATGTATTCTACTCTGCCCGGAGGGAGAGAAAGGGCCGTCTTACATGCAGCGGGTGTGCCTCATGTCGAGTGACTGGCTCCCTCGTTTGGCTCAGCACAGGCCACCCTGGACAGCCTGCAGATGTATCGAAGACGCTAACTGTAGCTCTCGATGCTGATTGGAAGTAGCCCTCCGTGCTTCGTATTCTTCACGGCTTCTTGCCGAAATAGGCACTAGCGCGTGCCTCAAGTCTTCATCCCCAGGCAAGCCGAGCCTTGTCAGCTGTTCCCGACATATATTGCCGGCAGCTAAAAGTTGCAGGAGTACCGGATGTCCGTCTATCTCCGTCGACATCCTGAACCAGTGGCGTTTGGCGCTGCCGGGCTGATCTGACTACGTTCAGGAACGAGGTAGGGATAGGATGCGAACGCAGCATGGAAGCAAACGTATAAATCCGGCGACTAAGGAAGGCCAAGAAGATGTGGCATCGGACATTCAGGCCGTGTAAGCCATAGTTCCACTTCTATACGGGCTTCAGCATGGGTGACGTTAGTTTCGTTGACATACTTGGCGTTTTGGAGCCGTCCGTGGTGTTCCCAGGTAAAACGACACAGGCACAGCAGCCCAACTGGCAGGAGGTGTGTCTGAGTACGACTTTCGATAGCTCAGCCCTGGACGAGATCTGTCGAGGCCACAATGTCTCGGTTGACAAGACCCTCCAGGCGCTCTGGGGAGTGACGTTGAAGACTTTCACGAACAGAGACGAAGTCTGCGCCGGGTTCATCTCCGGAACCAGTTCCGGGATTTACCAATGCCAAGTCAATGCTTCCAATTCCACTGTCGATGTTATCAAAAGCTTGCAGAGTTGGGTTGTGGGTCTGACCCTATCCGATCCCGTCGTCGATCAAGGGGCGCGCTTTGACACTGCATTGCATGTGCTGTGTGACTCTGCAAGCCACAGTGGGGAGCTCTGGAATAATACGATCGGTGCCGTGAAACTGTTCGTTAGAGTTCTGCCGTCCGAGGGCACTATCTCGGCCATGTATCATGCTCCCGATGTATCCGAATTCGTCGCCCGCAACATGACGAGATGCTTCTCCGCTGCAATTCACGGTTTCGTCTACAGCCCAACGTCTCCTCTTAAGGACTTGGATCTCGTCGGCCCCGAAACAATTGCCACTCTTGCCCAGTGGAATGGTCAGCCTCTGACATCGGTTGACGCGTGCATCCACAATGTTATCCATCAAAAGGCACTCGCGCATCCCGAAGCCCCCGCCATTTGCTCATGGGACGGCAACTTCACATACCAGCAGCTCGATCAGCTTTCATCTGCCCTTGCCGTACTTCTCCGCGAGCGTGGGATAGCTGGGGGGTCGATTGTCCCGTTTTGTTTCCAGAAGTCCGCCTGGGCTGTCATTGCGATGGTAGGAACACTCAAGGCAGGGGCAGCATCAGTCGCCCTGAGTCCTGACTTTCCGCCCACACATTTGAATCACATTTTAACCCAGACAAATGCTGCTCTCTGTCTCGTGGACCAAAGAAACTGTGAGGGTCTGAAACATGTCGGTCTCGAGCTGCTGGTGGTCGAGCCGAGCTTGTTGGGTAGCTCTAAAAGTCCAATTTCTTTCCAGAATAACAGCTCTTCGAGAGATATGGCCTTTATCCAGTACACATCAGGGACGACCGGAGTCCCCAAGGGTGTGGTCCTGGAACACGGGGGCTTCTTGACCGCCATGCTTGCCCACCAGCAAGCACTCCACATTGGTCCCGAGTCCCGAGTCCTGCAGTTTGCTTCTTATATATTTGACGCCAGCCTCCAGGAGGTCTTTGCTACCCTCACCGCAGGCGGGTGTCTCTGCATACCTTCCGAGGAACAGCGGTTCAACGATTTGGGTAGTGCCATTCGGGCCATGAATGTTACCTGGGTCTTCATGACCCCAATGTTCGCGCAGACCCTCCAACCCTCGGATTTGGAGGGTGTTCGCACCCTGATGATGGGCGGCGAATGCCCCGGGCAAAGCATCATCGATCGGTGGGGAGCGAAACTGGAGGTTCTGAATGGCTACGGGCCGTCGGAAGGGACCATCTGCTGCTCAGTCAATAACCTCAGTCAAGGCGATTATCCGGACCGCGAAAATATCGGCCATGCCCTGTCGAACAACCACCTCTGGGTGGTGACCCCGGAAAATGCCCATCGCCTCGCCCCGTTAGGCGCCATCGGAGAGCTGATGATTCAGGGGCCCAGCCTGGCCCGGGGATATTTGCAGAATGACGAAACCACACAGAACTCGTTTATCACTCCATCGTGGCTATCGGGTGTCAACGCGATGCAGCCGCATAGAGCTTATCGAACGGGAGATCTGGTGCGTTATCAGGCCGACGGTAGCCTCCAGTTCGTGGGCCGCAACGATTCTCAGGTAAAGATAACCGGTCGGCGAGTGGAGTTGAAGTCGGTCGAAATACATCTGGCTCAGAGCGCTCCGGATGACATATCCACTGCTGTCGAGGCAATCCGTTTGCAAACTGGCCAGGCACAGCGCACGATTCTGGTCGCATTTTACTGGCCTACCGGCGAAAGAGGGGAGGAGTCATTGCAGCCTCTGCCTGCCACGGCTGAAACCAAGTCCGTGGTTGAAAACATCGAGGCAAAGCTCCGAACAGCAATCGCTGCCTACACTGTCCCGACCTTCTTTATTCCCTTGCCCTTCATGCCTGTCAACCTATCAGGGAAGCTGGACCGCCGGCGGCTCAGGTCCTTGGTGGCGGATCTTTCGGACAGCCAACTGGCCCTGTATGCCCCCGGTGCCGTGGCCAAGGTGGAGCCGAGGAATGAGCTGGAGGGCCAGTTGCAGCGGATGTGGGCCGAGGTACTTGGAGTTGAACTGGAAATAGTGGGCGTTCACGACAACTTCTACCAACTCGGAGGGGAGTCCGTTCTTGCCATCGCGCTGTCTGCCATGGCCCGGGAACATGGACTGCCTTTGCTGCCGACGGACATCCTGAAGCATTCCGAGCTAGCCTCCCAGGCAGCCATGCTGCAGGAGAGAATGAACAGCCCGGACAATAGTGCATCCAAACCGGATTACCAGGTTGATGCGATTTCCAACGATCTTGACCTTCGGGAACGCATCCGCCAGCAATGGGGCTTGGAAGGGATTGTCGATGTCTACCCAACGACTGTCCTCCAAGCTGGAGTCTTCCAAATCTTGCAACAGGATCCACACGCCATGATGATGCAGTTGCGATTCCACCTCTCCCCTCAGGTGGATATCGAGCGATTCCGCAGGGTCTGGCGTGAGATTGTGGCGAATGTTGACATCTTCCGGACCAGAATTGTCTCCATGGCAGGCTGTCCCCAAGTAGTTCAGGTCCTTACAAACGACGAGATTGAGTGGGAAACCGCGGATGATCTGGAGGAGTACTGCCGCTCGAGGATGGAAGCGGTGCTATTCAAAGAGGGGAGCCGACTGTATCGTTTTGGCCTCATTCCCGACGGAGCGGGGGGCCACTATTTCGTGTGGACGGCCAACCATGCTACTTATGATGGATGGTCTTACAAGCGACTCATGGACCTTACGGCGCCCCTGTATGAGAGCCAGCCAGTGGACTTTGGCCCTCCGGCCAAGAACCTCATGTACTGGGTGGAAGATGTCTTGAAGTCCGATGCTGGAGCATTCTGGAAGGCCCATATGGACGGATACCGCGGTATTGATTTCCCCCAGCTTCCATCACCAGATTACCCTGCGATTGGAAAGACTTCCAAGTCATATCGGGTGCCGATGCCCGATCTCACAGGACTGAATATCACCCTATCCTCGCTTCTCCGCGCAGCCTGGTCCTTCTGCATTGGACAGTACACTGGGATCACGGATACAGCCTTCGGGGCTGTCCAGAGTGGTCGAATGGGGGAATTGAAAGGCCTTCTCAGCCTGATCGCCCCAACGATCACTGTGGTGCCTCTGCGCGTGGTCTGGGACGACTCGGTTTCCGTTGCTGCCTTCTTGGCGGATGTCCACCAACGCGTGCTGGATCTCATCCCCTACGAGCAGCAGAGCCTGCCCATCCGCCAGAATAGCAATGACGGTGCCGTGGAATCCTGGACGTTCCAAAGCGCGGTGGTAATCCAGCCGCAGTACGAAGAGCCGGCCCTGATCGACGGCATGCGTTTCATCCGTCGGGACCATACGGAACGTGGGCAACTGGCGTTGATGCTCGAGATCACGATCTGCTTGGAGGACGTGGACGTGCGGCTGGAGTATGATGACGGAGTGCTGAGCGAGGAGCAGATCGATGAGATGTTCGGCTACTATAGTCACACGCTGGGTCAGTTGTGTTCCCACGCGGGCTCGGGGCTGATGGCAGACATGGATCAACTCAGCGCGTGGAGAAGCACTTCAGCAGCGGCGGGTGTTGGTGTCAAATAAGCCCAGGGTAGCCTTTCCCTGATGTGAGACCACGGCTGTTCGACGACAACGATGAGCGATGAAGTCGTCTGCGGATTACTGCTGGAGGAACTCGGAAGAAAGACTGCCTCGACATTCAGGATAGGTAGTAGGAGAGAATGCTTGTTGAAGAGAAAATAACGGGAGGAATGAAGAAGGGGAGGGAGAGACAGGAGGGGAGAAGAAGAGGGGGGGGGAAGAGGGAAGAGGGAGCTGCTTGATTCACACCGATCACCTGACAATGACCCTCCCCGGGATTCATCCTGGTGATATCTGCTCATGCTGGGGCCCAACAAAAATATATTTCTCTAGCATGTGACCTCAATTAAATCCAAGTATAGTTTATTTGCTTGTCATGGATAGACATGGTAAATGCTGCAAGGTATACAGGAACATCATTCTGTGGGAAACAAATACATTGGTGCCCAAACAAGCCCATCTATCTTCTCACTCTGATGAGGAGACAGACAGACCAGGCCGTGAAGAAAGTAAGTAAGTAGTAGGACTGACTGCCTGACTGGAAAGCAAAAAAAAAAAAAAAAAGACAGCCAACCCAATCATAAAACTGATTGATGAAAAAGAAATGTAACGGCCCGAGCCGCGGATCGAACGCGGGACCTCTCGCAGATATGCTTGGGTTGTAACCCTAAGCGAGAATCATACCACTAGACCACCCGGGCGTTGATGGAGGATGACGTCAACTTTGTGCTTCAACAGGAGGGCCAGAAATCACCATCATCTCATTCATAAAGGCAGGAATCCAAAACCTCAGCAATGCACCATCGACGAGATATACCCTTCGTTTTGACCGGGCGAGCATTGTAAAGCAAAGAGAATCGGGTGGTACGCACTTCCCGACTCTACCAGATGTCGCATCAGTCCTTGGAGCTTTCCTTGCATCGATCACAGCAAAGTATCCGGCTTAGTGGAGGAAGAGTGGCGAATGAATGAAGGTAAGACGATGGAGGTCCATATGTCTGTCCTCCAGGGATACCAACTGCGCGTTCGAGAGTTCTGCATAAAGAAAGTATCGAAGGGCTCGGGCATGAACAGGGCTAGCCCGTTGCCCAGTGACTGGCGCAGTCTTATGCAGCGGCTTCTGTTCGGATAGAACCATTTTGTCATCAGGGCAGAGACCGATCCGCTCTGCCTTGCTCTCCTAACCAGTCCTCTTCCATTGACCCATATGCCCTGAAAGAATCCGATCTTCAGTTTTGTTCGAAGGTAGATGTGGAATGTTTGGTCTCATGGTAATCCTCTTGTAATATTTCGTCAAAGACGGCTGGATACTTTACTGCGGCCTCGATATGCTCTTCCATTAAGTGGACCCCGTCGCCATCCATTACTATCCTGCTGTCCTAGAATCAGTGCGACCTCGCAGCATTGACAATTTCCCGTCCATCCAGTGTTGAGTCGACGTGGCTCAAAACTGCCTCCAGGTTGAACATTGCTGAGCGGCGGATTGCGAGACTTGAATGCTTGATCCAGAATGTTCACGCGATCGGTGGTCAGGAATAAGGTCCGAGGATGAGTCTCCGTGATCTGCATGAGAAGGGTCGCCATAGGGCTATGTGTGATATCATCCATTGATCCCTGGGATAGGAAGATATCAGCATTGTCCGGTAAAAGAATACAGTTGGAATTTGACGAAAAGGTTGTAGGCCTGAGATAACTCCGCGATGAGCCTGGCAGTAGGCATGTAGCCCAGAAGATGGTCGGTGAGCTCAAATCCCGCCGTTATCCGTTTCAGATACTGCTGGATCTTCTCCTTTGCTTCCTGGTGGTTGATCTGGACGGTCAGCAGGATCTTGATCGCCCCGTATGCGAGGGCCACGTACTCCGGGGCCTGTCCCGCCATCAGGTCGAGAACTTGCGAATATTGGTAAACCGTCTCCGACGCCGGGGTCCACAGCGCCTTGAGCCTGATTCGAAACCTTCCGTTCTCTGTGGTCGCATCAGGTTCCTCTATCGCGGAGTAGGCTTCTTTTATCAGGTCCAGCGCCTGCTTCTGGCTTTCTTCCAGGGCCTGGCGCTCCTGCGGGGTGGTGCAGGTGAGAAATTCCTTCAATCTCTGGTCGAGCTTTGCCCCTAATGCTCGTACAGACTGCTAGTCGAGAATGCATTTCGACCACGCGTCATCACTGCGGTCAGGTGTTAGTCATTGGTGAACTTGTCGTGCGGACAAAGCCTCCAGGGGCCGTAGGATTGTTGTCTTGATAATCGGTGATGCGTAGCTCACTGGCTACCGGGTGAAGAGGAGAAAAGTAGGAAGAAGGAAGAAGGAAGAAGGAAGAAGGAAGAAGAGGCGGCGCGGAGGCAGTCACGGGGCGGGGGCCAGCCTTAGGCCAGCCTTAGGCACCGCTGCCATGATCCCCGCCCATAATCCACCGGTATAAGCCAAGCTGAGTGGGGAGTCGATCTGAACATCAGTATAAGCTAATATCTATCTAGTAGATAGTAGTATCTACTTGTATCTGAATGATCGACGCCCCAAGTTCTAGAATATTTTGCTTGCTGCCTGAACTATCAGGCATCATTCCGTGTCCGCGCCAGGCACGGCCGGATTGGCTGCAGGGAATCCACCAGTCAAACCACCACCAAGGCATGAACTGGAAAATCTCTCCTTCGGGTTTTGTTCGACAGTCATGACGCAATATCTCGCCATGGCCAGGTTAAAACTGGACGACTCGTCCAATGATCTTCCTCCTCAATATCTTACTTCCCTCCAGACTTACTGTACGCAACTCAGCATGCACCCCCGGTTTATCCAGCGAGGTAGTGTGGCATCCTCCAGGTGAGCCCGATCACCGATCACCGATCAAAAACCGGGGAGATAATTCAGCCCGTAAGCGTTGTGCTATATAGATTGATTGTCGTGGCTTTAGACAATCCACCTTCGGACCCGCCTCAACCCTGCTTCTTCCTGCCTTAGCGCTGACCTCACCCACCCCAACATCCCATATCCCACATCCGTTTCAGGTTCAGCTCATGCCACTAACTCCCCTCTGTGCTCTGATTCGCCAAATATTGGCGCACTGTCCCATCCGGACGCCCGAAGAGCTTCGAGTCGGATTTCCGCAGGAGTTGCGGGCGGATGCGCGGCTAGTCTCGGGGCGGGAGAAAGAGAATATTTATATTGAGCAAAGAAAAACGCTACGAGCAGGGTTACGTCATGATTTTGACTCCAGATGGAGCATATACTCCGCAGTGTGTCTCGGGCAGGATCGAGTTATCTGACTGGATCAAAAAAAAAAAAAAAAAAAAGCCGCGCGTGGATCAATTAAACTTCGATATATATTACGACGGAAATTGAACGAGATACGGGATATGGACTAGTACGGCGTACGTACTAGGTCTAGATAGGTAGGGACATTCTGATGGGGTGGGTGAGTGGCGAAAAAGGGTCCAAGGGTGTCTTATCGCATATGCGTGCTGACAGGGGGCGCGGCGGCTAACCGGCCGGGTTGGTGCAGGTAAAGGGGGTCAGGGCCGTCTCGGCGAAATCGACCTTCATGCCGGTGATGGCTGCCCACAGTCCCATGCCCGCCGTGGCCAGGGCGCCCGTGGCGTAGATCAGGTCGAACGTGTTCCACGCGAACTTCTTCTTGTACCCGCGGATCCAGCGCTTCACCCCGTTGTCCACGCGCTTGGTTTCGCCCGTGTGGGGGTTGAAAGACTCCTCCGGGAGCATGGCGTCCTTCTGGATGTTGTATCCGACCAGCAGCAGGGGCGGGAAGGTGTAGGAGAACTGGAAGATGCAGAGCGCGCCCTCGAAGGAGGTCAGGTTGCTAATCTGCGGGACGGCGCCCGCGAGGACGAAGGCCAGGCCCCAGTAGACCGGGACTACCGCGTGCATCAGTCAGGGTCCGGGTCCACGTCACGTCAAAAAAAAAAAAAAAAGGGGGGGGGAGGGGGGGTTAACACGTACCGAGTCCGATCCAGATCAGCTTGCCGGACTTGTGGTCGAGGGGCGGCATGTGGAAGACGTCACGCATGACCGACGAGTAGAAGACCTTCACGCCGATGTTGGCGTATAGGAGGGCCGCAATAACGGCGGTGATGAACGAGAGCGCGTTACCCACCGTCTGGTACTTGTAGGCCGAGTCGGGGATACCTGAGTCGCCCACGTATGAGTATCTAGTCGCTCAATATCCAGACAGGGCATTTCGTCTCACCTTGGTAAGCCGGGTTGTAGCAAAATTGACCCTGAGCATTGTACACCACCATTCCCTCGATCAAATAACAGACGTAAATGAAAATCTCAGCGATCACGAAGCCCTTCCAGAAATCGTACCTGCAGGGCTGCGTCAGCCAATGTCATGCGACCGGGGGGGGGGGGTTGCACGTACGGGCGCCTCATCTCGGCCATCAGTTCGTTGAAGAGAGTGGCGCCACCGTAGGCGAACACACAGTTCATCACACCGTTAATGCGATCGTACAGCGTGGTGTTGGCGGGCCAGTTGGCACTCGTGAGCACGGGGCCCTTGGGGATCTTCGAGGTATTCCAGACGGCCTTGTAGTTGGGGGGGTACTGATAGACCACCGCCATGGTCATGATGATGACGATCACATTCAGCCAGATGGCCAGGTTGGACAGCCAGGATAGCCGTTGCAGGGTCCGGATCTGGCCGAGCACGAAGCCGACGAGCATGAAGATCACCTCGGCGACGACGACTGTCTCCATTAGCCGGATCCGGTCCGGGGCAGGGCACACACTCACAGCACAGGAAGCCACTCCCATCCGCGCCCGCGGCCATCTGGGCCAGACTCTGGCCACTACTCTCGATTAGCAGGGCCAGGTTGATGAAGAACTGGAAACTCTGCAAGACGTTGACAACGATACGGGCGGGGGTGCCGAAGATGCGGAAGGCCACATCACCGTAATCTGCAGAGGATCAGTCGGGCGATTCTTTTCCATCTTCAGTTCCGAGTCACTCACTGCGCATGGGGTACCGCGTGGAGTCCATGCCGATGAAAATCTTCCACAACTGCATACCAGAGCTACCGGAGTCAGCGAGGTTGGGACCACCATTCTGGGCTGGGTGACTTACTAGTATGCCATCAGACCAAAGACGGTATACAGCGCCTGTCAGGGTCAGCGTGGGTCCGAGGATGAGCCTTACGAGATCGGAGGCACCTACAAAGCCGGGTCCGTAACCCATTTGCTGTATCGAAGTTAGCATTGGTATGGATGAGCAGCCGCTGTTTGTCAAGTCCACTTACACTGATGGCCCAGGGGACGCTGGACGGTCCCAGGATATCGGTGGTGATCAGATAAAAGATGGATCCTGTGTTCAGATCGCCGGTCAGTCGCGAGCCCAGAGGGCGATGCGATGCAGGACGGAGGGCTCACCCCAGGTCGCGGTACGACCGGCACGCTGTGCCTGCTCCCATTCGGTCTCAGAAATGCCCCATTTGTCGACCTTGTCAGTCTTGTCGTTCTGGTCGGAGGCCGAGTTCGAATCTTCGGCGGGGGTTTTCTCCGACAGTTCCTTGCCGGATGAATTCTCTCCGGCTCCTGTCGGCTGCGCGGAGGTATCTTCCTCCTCCACCTTGCGACCGATCAGCACCTTACCCAGTCTCTGCAGACCCTGGTTGTCGGTCCGGATCTCTTTCTCGACCTCTCGGGAGCGGTTGGCCCAGTAGTGGTAGTTCTCGAAGGTGATGCTGGTGTCGAGGTAGATGTTGCCCCTGCCGTGCAGGATGGGGGCGGGGATGTTGTGCAGCGGTTCGCCGCTGGGCTTTTCTACCGCCACGCGATGCTCGGCCTCGGTGCCGATGATGTCGGCCTCGTTGCCCAGTCGGGGATCGGCCACGCCGCCCAGGTTGGCGTTGGAGAAGACGCCTGCCATAATGCAATGAAGGGGGGGGGGTAGGCGAGAAGGGGGGAAGAAGTGAGAGGATGGGATCGAGGGAAGGCTCGTGGTGCCCGTAGGCGCGGGTCAAGTTATATGAAAGGCACGGATGCGCACTAGATAGATGAAAGCTCCGTCCTACCGCTGTACGACCTCCCAGACTACATACCCACAGCCGACTAGGGCGCTCCTGGTGCTGGGCGTCTGACGGGCTGGAGAGGTGTCCGACGGTAAACGCAGGAGTAGCAACGGGTGGGGAACAGCCACGCGAACGAATGAACCAGCCAGTCCATCTGCCCAGCGTTATCAGCACCGGCTGCTCCGGGCGAAACCCACTGTTGCTGGCAGTGTGGTCCGTCATCCGACTGCCGTTCGATCGATGATGCTTCCATGCGTTATCGTCGCGGCGAACATCTCCAGATGAGGCAGCTTACTCGCATCCCCTGTCCTCAGGGGCAACCCAGGATATTCGCGCATCCTCCAGTTCCTGAGGACCCCTCGCATGCCACCAGCCTTCTGTTGTTTATCTAATTAATTAATTATTATTATTTTTTTTTTTTTTTTGCGTACGGCCGTCCTGTTGAATCATCAGCCGTGCGTCCCCACTGCTACCCGGACCAGGCCCCAGGGTTGCCAAAGCTTGCGAGTCTGGGCGAAAGCTTGGTCCTCTCGGCAGCGCTGGTCTGGTCAAGACTCAAGTCGTCCGTCGGAGAAACAGATACCAGATAGAATAGATACACCGCAATGACGTGGGATTTCGCGAGGACACCATTATTCTATGGCTTCTGGAAGGACGTACTCCGTAATAATCTGCGAGGATTCCGCCACACAGGACGCCAGCAAGATAGCAGACCATCAGCATGGCCTGATTGGAGGGGCCCCGGTTGCTGAGAGATAATGGGCATTGCCAGCCATGGCCACCACACCATCAGCCCATCCGGGGCTCTGGTGCGTGTGTGCGTTTCTCCGCCATTGTGTGGGTTGCTTTTTCCTTTCGAGTTTCGTCCGGGCCAAACCAGCGTCCATTGGGTGTGCTTTTTCCCTCGTCCCAGGCTGACATCGGGAGAGGGGGGGGGGGGACTCTGTCGAGAATATCCCTGGAGGTCCGCTAAACCGGATTGCTTTTAGCCGGGCGCAGCTGAAGTACTGAGTACGTTGTCCACCGTCGATACTCCGTTATTGTGATTGTGCTGTCGGCCCACCGGCGATCCCTTCCTGCCGGGGCAGGCGCTAATCGGGTGGATAGGAAGCAATCGGTGGCTCTGGGGGACTCCGGCCAGTCGATGCGCGGGGAATGACAGCAAGGAATGACGGGATGAAACTGGACTGGGCGGTCGCGCGACTTCTAAGGATCTCTCGTGGCGAGGTTGCGCAACACTCACCAGGATGGGAATGGCAGCTGGCCGGAGGCAAGACAGATGGTCGTGCAAGCGGTGAGATGGGGAGATGGGGGAGGAGATGGAGGATGGTGGATGGTGGGGACTGCAGAGGGGCCGACGGAGCACGGAGTCCGGAGGGGGGGGGGGGAATGCAACAAAAATTGAAAAAGCAAAAAAAAAAAAAAAGAAATGAAAAAAGAAATGACCTACGCAGGATTCGAACCTGCAATCTCTTGATCCGTAGTCAAGCGCCTTACCATTGGGCCAGCAGGCCAGGTTGTTGAACATTGCGTCATTTTTACGTTACATACGCCAACAGTAGACGTCACCCAGCAATCTACTCCGTCTGCAGGCCTGTAGTCCAAAGCCACCAAATTTCAGATGGACGCTCGAGCATTCACAGTTATTGTTCCCCTATTTTGATGTCCAGTTTAAGGATAGTATTCCTGCACCCAATGTACGCTTCTGCTACAGCAGGTGGCTCTGATAGAATAAGAACCATTGCTGCAAGAATCATTTCATTGTCTGAAGATCAAAGATATATTTCGTGACTACCACCATCACCCACACCCAACACAAGCATTTCCAGCCTAGGGGTCTGACAAGCCGGATAAGCACATAGCAGCCCTGTCCCTGGCAGCAGGAGCATGGTGTTTGGGGGAAACAGTCCACAGGTCCCCCCTACCACCAGTAGATACCCTGACATGCCTGAAGAATCCTTCATCTTGGATAGTCCATTGTCGGACCTGTCTGCTGCCGTGCCTTGCACCTTTGACGGCTTGATCCGAGGACCCTGCATGTCGTGTTATCTGAGTGGAGCCTTAGCTCGTCTTTCCCCTCACGATCTACCGGCCTACCCCTCGATGACTCATGATAGGTTTGCTCATATAGCCTGGATGGACTGCACCCCTAGAAGCCACTCAAGTATCTCTCTGGACGATAAGAAACGTCACCAACGACCTGATCCCGACGAACAATTGGACCTCCCCCGCACCGAATCCCCGGCTGCCGCCAACCCCCCGAAAATCGGCTGGATCGCTCAGTGCCACCCTCAGCCACAAAGCTCAATCTTCCTCTAACATCCACCCCAGGCCTCGGATCCATGGGTCTCGCCATGGCCATGAACCTCCAAACTCATCTATCTCAAACCGGTGCCCCCTCTCTCCACTTCTACAACCGTACCCCCGCTCGCGGGCAACCACTCCTATCCATCGGCGGGACACAAAGCCCTAGTATCCGGGACTTAATCCTCGACGTCGACATATGTTGCATCGCTGTTAGTAATGGTGATGCTGTCACCTCCATCATTAATTCCGTTCTGGAGGTTCCTGGGGTAGACCTCCGCGGGAAGATCATCGTGGACACGTCGACTATCTCGCCGGATACGTCGTCGTGGGCGCAGCGGTGCCTGCAGGAGAGGGGGGACGAGGTTTATAGCAGCACCGGTATTTGGGGCCAGCCCGATCGCGAAAGAGGGAAAGCTTCTGTTCATTCTCGCCGGGCATGAGGAAGGGGTCACGACCATCGAGCCTTTCTTGGTTGGCGTGTTGGCGAGAAAGACGTTGTATGTGGGGGAAGATGCTGGGAAGGCTAGCTTGCTGAAGACCACAGGGTATGGGGCCTCTCTCCAAGCTGTCATTCTGGGGTTGGAGGATGGCTAATTAACCCTGGATAGCAATTTCCTGACCGCAGGCTTCATGGAGCTGATTGCCGAGGCGCATGTTCTTGCGGAGAAGACTGGGCTTGGGAATGAGGCGCTGGAGTCCCTGATGGAGCACCAATATGGACCGCTTCCGTTTGCCATGTCAAAGCGCTTGACCGGGGGGGGGCTTTATCTTCCAGAAAAAGGGGAACGGCCGTGGTCAGATCTGCAGCTGGCAATCAAGGATGTAGGGTTGGGCGTAGAGTGTGCAGAGAAGGCCGGGACGAATTTGCCTATTGCTGACGTTGTTTTGAAACATCTCGAGGAGGCGAGACAGTATGGCGAAATGAATGATAGGGCGTTGGATTCGTCCTCGATGTATGGGGTGTTGCGGGAGCGTGCGGGGCTTGGTTTTGAATCCGAGGTGGTGAAGAGGAGGGATGGGTGCTGGTCGAGGTGAAGGAAAACGTGCCTACTGTGAAATACCGCATTTGAAGCTAGGCATTAAGGGGAACTGAGGAATGCGCCATAATTCTGGTGAAAGCAAAGAAGACTACGACACGTTCATCAGAACAGAGCTAGGTGTTTAGGCAAACGTCCCACAGAGGATATGTCCCAAGAGTGAAAACCCATGATATAGTAGCTGGTAACGTTATAGCATTGAATAAAAAAGATATCAAAAATGTTTACATGAGCAAAGAACATAGTTTTATCCAGCTGGCATATCGGATAGACAGCTCTTTTAAAAACACTCAGTACTTCTCCAAGATATCCGAAATAAACTCGCAGACTTCATCAAGGCCCGTGAGAGTCCCATACCCTACTCAAACATGTGGCGTTTGGTTCAAAAGTGGAAAAGGAAGCAAATTACTTCTTTGCTATTCCGAAAAGCCTTAAGCTATTGGATCCGGAGGATGCAAGTGGTAACATTTCATCTGCAAGGTTAATTCATAACAGCTACTAGGACTCGTGTGATGTGATAGCTTGGCGGAGAAATCGATTCCTGTTCTTGAGTCTGTCAATATGATTGGTCAACTTGGAGTAGCGGGACTAAGCTTGGGCGCGTAAACAGCAGCCAAAGTGGCTTGGCAAGGCTATAACTCAAGCGCCCCTGTCATCCGTCACCGCCGGATCCAAGAAAGATAATCATTCTCACCCCCCTGGTGCGATAGGACCCCCCCCCTCTCCTTATCAAAAAAAAAAAACAAACATCTATAAACCTCACACATCTGAATCCAAGGAGTCTGAAAAAAAAAATTTCAACTCCGATTGCAGGCTGTGGCTTTATCTTGTCATTGCCCTGAATAGAAAAAATGTCATCGAGATCGGCTGCTGGCATCATAACCGCACGATGCATGGACTATGATGACGTCGCATGGGCAAAGTGCGATGAAATGTTTGGAGTATGGAGAGGCCGACTTTTTGAACAGGAGGTGCTGCGCGATATAGGACGGTTCATCGACAAGTATAGGGGCGGTGTTCCCGACGAGCTCTTTGCTCCCAGGCGAGGGGCGTTTAACGCTTGGCTTAGAATGCAGTTCAGCGACGGGGGTTCGACGGTCATCCGATTTCCATGTCCCGGGGCGTCAATGTTCCCCGAAGAAAAGGTCAAGCGAGAAGTGGCGGTGATGCAGTTTCTCGAATATTTCACCTCTTTGCGGGTCCCTCATAAGAAGGAGGAATGGGGGAGGAGAGAGGAGAAAGAGGAGAAAGAGAAGGCGGAAAGTAAACAGAGCAGGTGACTGGCAGGAGGAGTACGGCATCATGTATTTTGGACAAAGACACATCTACTGCAGGGATTCATCAGATGGACCAGACTGCTCACTAACCCTACTCCCAGCGCCTCTGTCCGATAAGTGATGAACAAGTGGGAAAAGGCCCTTGAACTTCATGTACACTGTTTGGAAGACCGCAAAGAAGGAAATGTCGTCTTGGGTCGATGCACCACCCAAAATTATCAATGACCACATTCTGCTTAGACTCAGAATCACAGTACCCTCGCACCTCCATCGGGAGACCGTGGTAGATGGACTGGCTTTGGAATCGCACTTCAGTCATCTTGTAGCGGACGCCTTTGGTGAAACCAGGGGCAACAGTGGTAGATCCTTAACACACACACACAGTACGGAGACAGATGGGATGGGGATCTTCTTGTATCCTGATGGGCTTCTGATGGATACATCATTTTTTTTTTTTTTTTTTTTTTTTTCACAAAGGGGAGGTATGCATACACTTGCAACAGCACCCCATTGGCGTCTCTGCCTCCGCGGTCTTCCGGGGACATGCCACAGTTGCCGGGGGAAGTTGGGGCTGCCCAAGTGAGCCCTATTCCTCAGACCTGACACATGCCAGTCCACTCAATCCGCTCTATATGATCCCCTTCTTTGATGTGAACCGTACATACGACCACAGGGTGTGGAGAACAGGGCTTCCCGTCCGCTCAGCCGTACTTAAGCCACACGCCGGGAGGTTAGTAGTTGGGTGGGTGACCACCAGCGAATCCCTCCTGTTTGTATGTTTTTGCCCTTTTTCCTCGTTTATTTTATTTTTTTTTCTCGCGTTGGAGGGAGCGTTCTGCGTGGTGGTTTTGTCTGTCTGGCTGGGACGGGAGAACTGGATACCAAGTCGATAGCTAGCTAGGGCTGGGCGTCTTCGGGTTGTGCGACCCGAAACGCCCTGCAGAAACGAATGGCACATCGTTCTCGCAGTCCAAAAAAAAAAAAAAAAAAAAAAAAAAACCCGACCTCACTCAATCCTCTTGCACACCCCCTGCCCTATAACTGTGCACCGAAATGCGATCCGGCTGCATTTGGTGTTTTTGAGCAGACATGCACGCCACATCAGTTCATCCTCATCCCCTGGGCGCAGCCGTAAGAATGGCGGCGGCTTCCAGATCCAAGAACCGCGACACGGGTGGCTTTTCTTGAAGATTGGCTCGACTGGCCCAGTGGTTAAGGCACCTGCTTTACACGTGTCCTGGATGGAGCTGTTGCCCTTGTTTGCAACAGCTTGACCCCCACAATGGCAATGTTCGCAGGGGATCCTCGGTTCGATCCCGAGGTTGAGCATTTTCTTTTTGTTCGCCTGCAAGTGTGGCCAACATACACAAACAACCCTTCTTTCTCCGAGAAGACAGGAAGAAAGGGTCATTGCACGCTGACTGCCCCTGTTGTCTGTCTCTGTATGACAATCATCAGCAAGGGAAGTATATCCCACAAGAAGAAACTCTTAAGAAAGCCGAGAGGCGACGGGGGTCATCCTCGATGACCCCGAACAGCCAGAATAGAATACATGCTGATTGCATTCATCCCCTCGTTACACGCTGGCTAGGCAGCCAATGAGCAATAGTATTGTCCCACTCCGGACTGGCTCCTTCGTCTGACAGATATACTAAAGCCCCGCGGCCAGGAAGCACCGATTATCAAAGGTGTGCAAGCATAGGCCGGTCATCTGGCCATGCAGGGTGTGGCAACTTTCGTAACAGGAGCACACAAGCGACGCTGTGTCACGAAGTCCCCGCAATTGGAAACCTGGGGTAAGCCGGATGTTCAAGCTTATAAAGAGTGGGTGGGTGGGTGCCTTGCCCCGAGTGAAATGCTCAGCATCTATCTAGTCTCCTCCCGAATCTCCCCCCTTTCTGTTCGATACCTCAAGTCTGGACCGATATCGTATTCCACCATGCATATCCGCTTTCTCCTCCTAGCCAGCCTTGCCTGCCTGGCCACCTCCAGTCCATCTCCTGCACCCGATGGGGAGGTCGTCGCGGATAACTGCGGCTACCCCAACGGCAACTGCTACGACAATGACTGTCACGGCGAGCTCAGCAGCAACCGCATAACCTGCACCTCAGTAGGTCTTTCCCTTGCTGTGCAACGGGCGATACCACTACTAGTATAGTATAGTAGTACTTGCCCAGGACAGACTTGCCCTTCCCCAGGGTCGCTACCTCGGTTGCCCGTGTGGATATGGCTGTGGGCGAAACACTGGCCGCTGCAATGAAAACGGATGCAATGGACAGAATGGTCGCTGCAGGAACAACTATCTCGGGTGTAGCTGCAATTGAGATGGACAGGCGGGGTTCTTGGGCTGGAGGGACGAGCCTCGAGGGCTGTTCGTATGTTCATATGGTTAGTTAGGAGTAGTGCTTGAATGGGCATGATAAACCTGCTTCTGCAAGGCACATCAAGAACGCTTTCGCTCCGTCGTAAGGAAGATGGGTATCAGACAAAAAAAAAAAAAAAAGCAAGCCATTGAACCAATACAGTCAGGGCCACATGAATCTCACCGCTTGTATCGGCCATATCGGCCAGATCGGGGCTCCGGACCCAACCAACCGAATATCAAAACCCTCCCTTGAACCAACAAGCTCGTCCGATCTACCTGGCCTCCTACCACTTACCCACTACTACTCCAGACCAGAATAAAGATCCTCATCTGCGGCCCCGGGATCACCGTCCTGCGACGCATGGGTCTGGAGAGCCTCTTCCGCGCGCACTCCGTCCCGGAACAGGGTCTGCGGCTGGTGGACGGCGCGGATCGGTCCTGGGGATATTTCCCGGCCAACCGGACGGGGAAGGGCAGGCAGAATTTCACGACCGACTTTGAGATCATGAGGGGGGACCTGTGTGCGCTGTTGGTGGAGGAGACCAAGACGAGAGGGGTGATGTATATGTTTGGGGGGCATGCTGCTGTGAATAGGAAGAAGAACGGGGTGCATTCGCTGGGGATCCTCGCGGGGTATTTCACCATGCCACGCCCGATCCAGCCCGGGGAGGAGTATACTGCATCCGTATTTATCGGGACGGGGGGTTGCGGGGTGATGATGAGGCGGCACGAGGCAGGTCGCGTGCAGGTGTATCTGCTCTGTGAAACGGACGAACTGGGGAAGGCCGCGAGAGAGGGGATCTGGAGGCAGAGAAGAAAGGGCTGGCGAAGGCGTTCCGCCATCCTGACGGGGTTTGCGGAGACGGACGATTTCGATGCGGAGCGCATGGGGGTCGTGCGCGTCGAGGGCTGGTCTCGCGGCCGGGTGGTGCTGGTGGGCGATGCCGCCTATGCGCCGTCGGCACAGACGGGGATGGGCACGTCCAGTGGCATGGTCGGGGCCTATATCCTGGCCGGGGAGATTGGCAGATCTTGTGGCCAGGGCAGCAACCTGGCGGACAATGGGGACCTCGCGATGGCGTTGAAGATGTACGAGTCACTACATGAGGAGGTTTCCGTCATCCTCACTGGGGATTACTCTGGGGTATGTCCTCTTTGCAGTCGCGTCGTTCTTGAGACTGGATCTCGTTGCCCGATGGATGCTGCGCGAGGAGACCAAGGGGTGGGAACTCCCGCGGTATGACGAGGCAGACGTTTGATTGATAGTGCCAGTTGTTATGCTTTTTGTTTAATTTCACCTCGCCCCTCTCCTTTCCTGCTTGCAGGGCAGTCTATATGTACATCAGTGGAACCTTGACTAGCCAAATTTATGATTTCACTGACCCAGTCTACCAATTGAGAATGTAATCTCTGCCCAGGTCCTTCCTACAACACTGCTAGAACAAGGTTTCTCCCCACTGCTGAGAGCCTGAGAAATCCAAGAAGCTTTCGTCAAAGTCCGAATCGAAGCTAACGTCCAGTTCTTCGGGGGGCACCATGCCGTGGGATGCCCAGAACTCGACATCAGGGGTTGATAGCTTGCCACCTTCCCCTGCCATACCTTTCAAGATACCGTGGCATGTTTCCAGGCTCTGATTGAGGGTCGTCGCAATAGCCGCTTCGACCGGGGAGCCATTGACACGCGCCTCAGCTTGAGCCATCATCATGCTCAGAAAGACGTAGCCCCTGACATTGGTGTCCCCCTGCGAAATGCGGTCTTTGGAGTATTGCACCACGCGGCGAGCGTCCTGGAGCAGGCCCTCCCGGCGGGAACGGCTCCTTTTTATGGCGAAGATCGAAGTCCTCTCGTCGGTATCCGAGCTGAGTTCGACAAAGATGACCAAGGCCCCTCGGGTGATGATGTCGCGGAACATGCCACCTCCGCGGAGCAGGACGCGTTGGTAAACGTCGTCATGAAGAAAGGAAACAAGATCGAGCGCGGTTTCCAGGCATACCTTCCGGGAGTGGCTGTACAGCGGATTCGTCGTGGCTTTGATCGCATACGAAAAGTGCAGATAGAGTAAAAAGCGATTGATTAGGTGACTGCAGAAGTTGGATGCGAATTGGGATGCCGAGCGGGCGAGTGCGGTCTGGTCAATGGCAGTGGCCACGTCGCGACACGCCGAGGCCAGCTGGTTCCCAAGCTCCAAAACCTCACTGTATGAGGGTCCCGCCTGCAGCCTGTTGATGACCCGGGTGGCACGTAGTCGGAGCGGCAGGGAGCGGGCCAAGATCTGCTGGAAGGAAATCTGATTCGGGGATTCATCCTGGATCATATCATCCAGGTCCTGGTCGCTCAGATTGGATGGCGGCAGGGTATTGTAGTCTTCATCCGTGATCATCGGCGACATCCCCGCGTCCAGTGCTGCCTGCGCGTTCATTTCCAGGATCGTATACCATAGTCGCCTTCGCATTTCCTTCTGTCGCAGGCTTGCCTCCCCGAGAAAGGTGGGATCTTGATGGAGCCCCATCTGCATGGCCATTCTCACCAACGCGCCGACCGAGATCCAAACCAGATCCGCTCCTACTTGGTGCAACTGACGGGAAAGAACCAATAGACAGTGGATTTGAATGGCTTTCAAAGTCAAGCGGCTTTTTTCCAGGGGCGCGCACAGCCACGTCTCGGCAATATGGATCCAGACTGGAGCCTTTTCCGCTATCTCGCTGCGTACATCCGCATCATCGTGCAGGGGGCCTGCCATGGTCAGCACCAGCAGAACTTGCAGGAGGGACGAGCTCTCTGCCGCCTCGGGATCATCCATGCAACTTTGGCACTCTGCCCGGAACGACTGCAAGTGCAGGATGCGGTAGCAGTATTCAAAAGTGGCAAAGTAGAGGGTGACCAGATCGGAGACCACCTGTCGATTGGGGAGGAATCGGTGGATAGTGTCTGCAGGAAGGCTCCGGCGACTGGGACGCTGTTCCTTGATCACCCGAGCCAATCGCTTGCACTGGGCGACTCTCTCTGCGGCCGGCTGCAGGGGCCCGGAGGTGCCTCCGGGTTGGATGACGGCCTCATAGTATTCCCCGATGGGCTGTAGGGTAGCTAAACCGTCCAGCTTGGCACGTTTTAGCCGGGGTTGGGTGGAAACAGCGCCGCGCGCGCAGGATGGGAGACGTACCCTGGAGAAGGTGCTCATCCAATGGCCGGCCCCAGACACCCGAGTCTTCGATCCCGTGCCTCGAATCCGGTCGGGGGTCGTGGCAGGGCGAGGCGAGGGATGGACGGAGGGACCCTCTTCCGGAGTGGGCATGTCCATCGTTGGATGTTATTTGGTTGAGACTTGGTCGGTTGGAGAAGACATGAAATGAAAGAATCGATGGATCTCTCCGGTCCGGCCCGCCCGGTAGCCCCGAGCCCCGAGCCCCGATACGGTCGAGAGTCTCATGAGTCCGCAACAATCCACCCAGCTAAAGCAATTGTACGTGTGTACGTGATACCAGGAGTTACCGATGGTCTGGAACATAAGATACATCGATTCATCAGGGTTGCAAGCAAAGGTTTCATCTGAATACAGAGCTCTGCTAAATATATATCTAGTCCCCTCTAGCGGAAGTCTTAAAGAAAGAGGAGGTAAATCCCAGGTCACACCCTCGAAACAACGAGGTCAACGAGCAAACACGCGCACACTGAACGTGAGACAATGGATGTCCATCGTGCAAGGACAAGAATGGAAGAAGTCTATCTGAGATGAGACCAAAGGATGGCCCGCGCGAATGACCTTGAAGAAAGGCCAGGTTAAACCGATCGGTCCGCAAATTATCCCCGACATCGTGAAGAGTAGGTACCAAGCCAGGAATTGCTCGCCGTGGGAGGCACAAGCTATTGGGATCCCTCCTTTTTGGATGAGAACAGCTTGGCTAGCCGGCGGATGATTCCGGCATCGGAACTCCGGACCCGCACGAACCAGTACAGGAACAGCGCCGCGAACACGTTGAAGGCAATGTAAGCCCACATCAGTCCAAAGTTGCGCCACCGCTCGCTATAATAAGAGGAGAGCTCTGCCAGATACACGTTCGAGTCCGTCATCTCGCAGAATTCACAGTTGGAGGTGGCCTCCGGGTTGTAAACCGCACCACCCGCGATCTTGATATAGTCGGCCAGATAGCTCCCGCACGTCTCGTTGCTGGGGGGCTGGATTTCGATAAGCTCGATGTCGGCGCACGTAACCTTGGCATTGGCTAATCCGGTGGAGAGCATGCCACCGATAAGGTACGTTAACGGGGAGACTCGGTACATGAAGATCCAGAACCCCGGGAGGCTCGACGGACTGACCATCACACTGTCGTCGGAGAAGGTCAATTAGCATGGATGGTCCGTCCCAGTGGGATGAGACGATGAACATACCCGCAGAAAATCAGATTCATGGCGAACAGTAACAGCGCCAGAGTGGCTCCGACTTCGGCAGTTGCCACACTCGAAACCATCATCATGGTGAACGTGCCACAATGCATCATGAAAGACCAAACGAGAAGGAACATGAGTCCACTTCTCTCGGTTTGCTCGTGGGTTTCCTGAGCATTATGGTTCATTCCGATGATGTAGTAGAAAGGGAGGAAGATCAGGACGGCGGCCAGCGAATTCCAGGGAATGTCCGCCATAATATTGGCCAGCATGAAAGCCGACCATGCATATGTTTTGGCCGGGCGCTCACGAACCTCGTACAGATCACGCTGTTTGATGAAATTGGGCATGGTCTGGTAGGCAAGGAACACGAAGATTATAAGCAGCATGAAGATGGCAAAAGTCTGATGCTGGAGCCCAAGGACCGTGATTTTTGTGTTGAGGAACGAAAGACCAATGAATAAAGCCTGGATGGTCGGTCAGCAGGGGCCGGGGCGTGAAGACAAAGTTGGGCATGAACCTACCGCTCCGAAACAGAGTATCAACTTGGCGTAGATGTAGGATGGAGAGCGCCAATACTGCTGGAACACTCGCATGGTACAAAGCCAAAGCTGGTCGGAGAAAGGAGCCGCGTATTGCTGTGTGGATCCCGTTTCAGGGCGGGACTCTGAGGATCCGGACTTTTCGAGTCGCTCGAGTTCCTGTCGAACCTCTTGATACTCGGGGCTTTCTTTCCATGTAACAGGCCAGTCGCAAGCCGCCACACTCCCAGGGGCAGCACCGATAACCTCCAGCATCCATTCAGCGGGGTTCTCGTCATCCGCACAAGGCCTGGCACCGTGCCTCTCGAAGTATCCGGTCAGGGTCCGCGAGTTCTCCCCGATTGGCCCGAAGTAGACCGTTCGTCCACCCCTAGCCAGGAGGAGGAGCTGGTCAAACTGTTGGAAGAGAATTGCGGACGGCTGGTGGATGGTGCATAGGATGGCTTGTCCATGGTCGGAGAGCTTGCGCAGTAGCAGTGAGATAGACCACGCGGTCTGACTATCCAGGCCCGAAGTCGGCTCATCAAGAAAAAGTAACAAATCGGGCTTCGCGGCAAGTTCCACACCGATCGTCAACCGTTTTCTTTGCTCCACATTAAGACCCTCGCCCGGAACACCGACTACAGCGTCGGCATAGGATCTCATTTCCAGAAGATCAATTACCTCTTCAACATATTGCAGCTTCTCTGCCTTGCTGACCGAGGAAGACTGTCGAAGGAGGGCGCTGAACTGAAGGGCTTCGCGGATGGTGCTTGTCTCGAGATGATTATCACTTTGCTGGCAGTACCCAACTCTCCGCTGAAATGAAGGGTCCCGGGGAATGCCATTAACATAGATATTGCCAGAGACGACACCTGTTTTGACCCGACTCGCCAAAAGATCGAGGAGAGTGGTTTTTCCAGCCCCGGAAGCGCCCTGTACCGTTCGGAAAGTAAGCATGATGGACAAACAAAACTAGAGGGGATGAACCGTACCATCAATGCCGTTAGGGTGCCAGGGGTCACCCATCCATCGATATGATCGGATATCCGCCGTATTTCGCCCTTGATGGGCACATCATAACACACATCCCTCCAATGTAACTTGTTTGACTGGAATTGGAAGCCTAGGGTCTTCTCCCCTGAGCTGCCTTCGTGGTGACCGGCCGAAGAACGACTCTCCCCTGCCATTGCCTTTTCTGCGCCACTCTCTTCGTCGTTTGCAGTATCTCTGCCACGAAGAGCCGCCTTGTGCTTGCGCTGAAACACCAACACTTCACCTTTGGAAGAGTCGAACAAGATAAACTCGGCGATCAGAAGGTATGTGGTCATGAAAAAGACGATAAAGGCAATAAGGATGCCGAAATTCCTGGCAACACAACATCGTTAGCAAATTCCTTCGGTGGCGTACGGTTTGCAACAAACCTCCAGGTATCCGAGTAGTAATACTCATAGTTAGCTGCGATGTACGCATCACCACTGACTAGATCCGAGGAGGCTGAAGTTCCCGCGACGGAGCATGTTTTGTCGGCGCTTGGGACATTTTCATAGCTTGGACCGGATGGGACGAAGCTGGCACACGGGAAGTACCGATCGTGGAACTCATTGGATACTAGCGTTTCATACGAATACGCGATTGGGTTGAGATAGTTAAGCCAACGCAGCCAGTCCTGCATGTTCCGAGTAGGCAGCACGAATCCAGTGTATACCACCAGGCCGATGACGCCTAATGCAATTGGGGTCAGGGCTTGGGGGACCGTGCGTGTTAATTGAGCAATGCTGCGGAAGATCATGGACATAGTCAAAGTCGACATGAACGCAAACAGAAGGTAGATCACCACATGCCCGGAGTCGCGTCGCAGATTAGCCATGTAGTACAAAGGTATATTGAAGGACAAGGTTGAGATTATTTTGCATGGAAGATCACATATCATGGATGCCACCGCTTCGGCCATCGGGTGGTAAAAGGCATACGCTGTATGTTTCTCAACAATGGGTCGCTGGGCATAGAGGGCAAGAATCTAATCAATCTCGTCAGTAATATGATCCATGCAAAATGTGGAGACGCGTACTTCTAGAGCACTATTTAATGCATTGAACAGTACGGCGAAAAAGAGGAGCGTGCATCGGTCGGTGAATGAAGACGTCGAATCGGCGAGGTCATAGAAAACGCTGCCAAGGACGAGTGACAGGATGAAGTTGCCGATAACTGTAGCCCAAAAGAAAGTTGTATCTCCCAGGATCCGGCGGTAGCCTCTTCGGAGACATAGCATGATCTGCTGGAGGATGGAGATCGTGTATGGCGAGTTGGCAGTTCTAAGAGATGTTAAAACATCACCATGCCCAGCAAAGAACGCAGAACTTACATCCATCGAGACTTCTCAGCATTCCTTGAGACTTGAAACTTCTCAAGCTCTGGTCCTCCGATTGGGTATTCTTGGTCGAAAACAGCAATTTCCTTCAACAGTTCATTTCTCAGCTGACTCTGTTTCCAGGCCGTGGCAAATTCATCAGGGGTCCGAGGCACTCGAGCCTCCCAGCCCGGTTGTACCACCCGCTCCACAGGGTTGGTCAGGGAGGTGAGGAAGTCTGCCGTGGTTTGCCGATCCGGGCAGTGATAGCCCATGTCGATGAAATATTGCTTTGCGTGGTCAATGGGGCCGAAATAAATCTGTCGGCCCTCGTACAAGACCGCGACCTTATCGAAGGCCTGTAAATCCAGTCAGGTGCTGCCACACGAGGTTGGCCATCAAGGGAATAGTTCACTTACATCATACGACTGCTGCGAGGCTTGATACAAAGCCACGATGGCTGCGGTGCCAGCCATACCGACGGAGAGTCTCACTGTTCGAACAAACTCTAGTGCCGTGGCACTATCCAGGCCCCGGGTGCTGTTATCCCAGCACTGAATGCAGCTTTGGGTGAGGGCGACTTCAGCAATGCTGACCCGCTTCCTTTCGCCACCACTCACACCGCGAACGAAGTCATCTCCCACCTTAGTGTTCAGTGTGTGGGAGATTCCAAACACCGCCATGACTACATCGCGGAGGTGCGTTGCATAGCATTCACGAGAGACCCCGGGTAATCGATTACGCGGGGTTTTGGCCAGAGCTGCGTATTTCAGTGTCTGTCCCACTGTCAGATGAGGAAAGTTGACGTCGGTTTCAGCCTGATAGACCACATCGCCACGGAATTGTTTGTGCATCTCGCTCCATGGAATGCCTAGTGTCCCGGGAGATAGATTGTCAGTGATATGCCTGGTCAGCATCGTCAAAGGGTTTCACACCTTGATAGTTAAACTCTGTCGCACTGCCCAAATGCAATCCTTTGGTTTGGCCAGCAATTGTCTTTAGAAACGTAGAGACACCACTAGAGCGGAATTGATGGTTAATACTGTTCAAGCAGGTCAAAAAGCGAGCGATCATGGAGCTTACCTTCCCGGTCTTCCAAGAACCAGAAGCATTTCCCCACTGCGTAGCAGACCATCGTGATCTCTCAAGATCTGCAGTTCTTGGTCCTTGTGATTGATCAGGCTACCTACTCGATCTGCCGCCTGCAAAACAACATTCAGAATGTCCTTTTGGTACCCAACTGCACTTCCGTAACCATAGACGCTGAGGTCCCGGAAGGACACGCCGGCGGTGCGCTCCGGATACCTATCGCGATCTTGCGAGGTCAATTGAATCACAGCCTTGGCCCAGTGCTTCGGGCTAAACTTGGGCGAGTTGGGATCCAAGGTGGGATCATCCACTCCTGTGAACGGGTTTGGTGTAGATCCATGGGGCCAGTCCTTGGTAGAGGATTCGGTCAGACGTCTGGCCAGTTTCTTGATCTCCTGTTGATCCCCAGGCGATATCTCTATCGAGTCCGCGTCTTCCCTCATGGTGTCGGTCCCTCCAGTGGAGCTGGCCGTCTCAAGCATATTTGGGTCTGTCTCCGGATGAGACATGGGGATAATGAATGCTCAACAGTGACGGCCCCAACACTTTCTGCCGTCGTCCGGATTGCAGATAGTTGTGTCGCGAACTGCCGTGGGGGAAAGGTGAGGGAAAGGCAAGAGAAGACAGAGGGTGGTATAAATCGATCGATAAAAATAACCCAAGGCCCAGGGGAATGGAAAGAGCTATGCCGGTTGCAATTATAACGGGGCCAGTTAAGCAGACTATCGCTGCCGACCAGGGGAACTGCCGAGAGGGAGCGGGCTCCTTTTGACCTTTTGAGAGCTAGTCGTTCGGGGATCTTCGTTCGATGCCGACATGATGACGATGCCTTCGATGCCGCCTGACAATGTGCAACTTGATTCCCGGGGGGGGGGGGGGAGGGATTCCTGATTCCGCGCCGTCTGGTCAGTCTGGTGGTGGTGTCGTGGTAGAAAGACTGGGGGGTTCGGCGCCGAAGGCCAGGTGGGGGCGCGTCCGTCGGCGCCGGAGCGACGGGAGCGTCGGAAGGTGACGGCGGCGGCGGCGGCGAAGCCATGGCCAGCTCGCCACGCGCGCTCCCTTTTGTTTCTCTTTTCTCTCTCCTGCTCCATCGCTCTCTCACGAACGATCCAGCTAAAAACGATGTCGGCGGCGACCTCAGGGTCCGAACCACTCCACAAGGCGTGCGACGCGTGCCGCGCCAGGAAGACGCGATGCAGTGAGTCAATCGGAGATGGAAGGAGAGAAGGAGAGAAGACGAACGCGGGGTTCCTGTTCTGACTCAGCCGTTTCCCGTCCTGCCAGAAATATCAGGCACGACAGATGCCTGCGACTTCTGCCTGGTAAGCCAGGCTGCCCACCCGGGTTCCCCTTGCCCTGCCTTGGGTGCCTTAAGTAACCCCCCCCTCCTCCGGATCCCACAGTCGCAGACCCAACCGTGTTCCTTCACCCCCGTCAAGAGGCCGCGCAAGCGCAAATACGACCCGTCTTGTATGCTTCTCTCCATCTTCCCTTACTCAAACCTGATCATCCTCCCCAGTGCTCCCTCTCACCACCACCACCACCCTCGCCAACGCTCCCCCATACCAGCAGTCCTGCGGCACCCTCGACCATGCCGCCCACCACACCGACGTACCCTCGGGTTTGTATATTGACTCACTGCTCGCCAATCGCCAGGCCTCTCGACGGCGCGGCGGTGCCAGCCATCCGGACCAGGTATCATGGTCCCGTCCGCCCCGAACACCCCCGAACTAACCATCGTCGCAGCTAACCACCATCTTCGGCCCCAATCCCAACATCTCCTTCTTTCCCGCGAAGCGCGTGCGCTCCATCAGTGACAGGCTGGGTCATAATCGACTGGATCAGTTGCTAGAGGAAATCCGCGCCGTGGTTGCGAGCAAGGTCAAGGCCACCTCATCTATCCCTCAGGCTCACGTCAACGTACACCAGGGCGCAGAACCCGACCATGACCTGCCCGGCCTGGAGACCATCAACTCCCATATCGGTGGTGGGTGTAGACTCGTCATTTAGTCCCCCCCCCCCGCTCCAGCTGACCGTCGCCTGTTCGCAGCGTACTTTGATACCGTCCATCCGCTGTACCCGTTCCTCTCTCCGGACGCCTTTCGTCAGAGGGCCGCGGTGCCAGATCTGGCTCAGTCTCTGGCGGCCGACAAAAGCTGGGCTGCTCTCTTCTACGCAGTCCTGGCTATCGGGTGCCAGAATAATGAGGGGGGGAGCTTCGAGGCTGGCATCGGAGAGGCCTGGTCGTACTTTGAACGGTCTCTGTCGTACTTCCAGGCTCTCCTTTTCGGCAGAGGGTCCTTGACTGCAGTTCAAGTGCGTTCCTTCCTTCCCTGCCTTCCCTCGTCAAAGTGGTGTCTCTAATTCAGTACTATGATGACAGGCTTTCATGGCTCTGGTATGTTACTCGCTTCGAAGTGATTAAGCAGCGCAACTGAACCCCCTCGCAGGCGATATTTTCATCAACAGTGTCTGCCTTCCAATTTGAGCCTTTGATGCTCTCAGAGGCCGCCACAATGGCACAAGGGCTGGGATTCAATCGGTCGAACAGTCCGCAAGAAGGCCCTTGCCGTCGCACGTTCTGGGTACTGTACTTCATGGAAAAGACGTCTTGCTTCACAACCGGCAAGGTTTCGGTGGGTCATCATATCTCGGCCTTAGAAAGGTCCCTGCACTAGTAATCTGACCGCCTCAGATTCTGGAGGACGCGAATATCAGCTGTGCGATCCCCGATGTCCCGGAATCCACGTTCGATGACTACGACTGGTTCTTCAGCTTCGTCAAGTATGCGCGTCTAGTCGCCAAAATCCACCAGTCTCTCTTCACCATCAGTTCAGTCAGCCAGCCCCTAACGGCCTACAACTCTCTGGTGGAGAGCCTACGCCTGGAGCTGGAGAGCTGGCGCTTATCCGCCCCACCCCGATTCCGACCGGGGGAGATGCTGAAACCGCGTTTGTTGCGCGAGTCCTTGACCGTCCAGGTCGCCTTGACTACTCACTTTCTTTACTTGAACGCCCTCCTCACACTGTCCTGGACCGTTTTGCATTATGGTGCTGTTCGCCTGGGGACCACACAGCAGGAGGTCATGAAGCGCGACTTGATGCGGACAGCACGCAGTGTCCTAGAACTGACGGGCTATATCGAGGTGGCACCCTCCACACCGGTTTGGTAAGTCGCACGTCTCTTGGCTGTTGTCAGGTGTCCCAGACAGAGAGTGCACAACCTAACTCTAGCTCCAGGATCCTCGCCGTTCTGCCCCTTTCCTCCCTGATGATCCTCTTCGACCTCGTCGTTCATAACCCGAATCACCCCGAGACCGGCCTCAGCTTGGCGCTTCTGGACATCGCAGGCGGGCACTTCAGCCGACTCGAATACGCCAGTAAAGGGGCGCTCCCTGGCTCTCTCGTCGCTGAGTTTGCACACCTTGCACGCAACTACGTGTCGGAAACCCGCAAGTCCAAATCCCGAGAGGCTAGTGAGAATGTCCCATTGCAGCTTGCAGCGGAGGCTCCTCCTCCTCCTCCTCCCGCAGGCATGTTGGGGACCGCGATGAATCTCAATGTCCCAATGATGCCGCAACCTCAAGAATCGGTCGCCGGTCTCCCTGATGTCACCCAACCTTGGAGCCCCGCTTCACTGGACCGCAACGAATCTCTCTTTCTACCCTTTGTCGACGACCCGAGCTATTACTTGGGGGACTTGCAGCTGTTTGGGATAGACGTTAGGGACCTTTTTGATCATCCGTACTCTTTATAACCGTAATCAATCTTCTGCCTTTTTTTTTTAATATATACATGGCAGGCCCAATTTCCAAACAGAACCTCTGCTGTTGCTGCTTCTCCTTTCCATTATGGACCAATAGGGTTTGATGATTGGATCAAACCAAGAAGATCGAGGACTTGATCGACCAATAAAATCGCGAATCAAGATCAGGATCCGTCTGCGCTAAACCGGAACCGGGCTCCGTTGGCCCTGACATGATATGGTCATATTGATCCAAGTATGAGCAAAAAAACGCCCTCTCTGGTGTCTGCAACGACGCCAGTATTTTCTTCACCCGTGCCACCTTCTTTACTCACTCCACCCTTCCCACCACAAACTCGACATCTCTAACCCGACCTCATGTTTGTCAATTTTCTCACAGCAGCTATCGCCAGGAGGTTCGAGCCCCTCTTCGAGCGTCACGAAGACAGACTCGACCGTCAGGGTCGGTGGAGAGACGCCCAGAAGCTCCGCTACAAGCATCATGAATGGATGGGCGGGCCACCCCGCAAAGCCTGGAAATCACTCTTCGACTACGTCCGGGTGGTGACGGAACTCCGCTTCAGCATCCAACGCGAGAGGTACCTGCAGTCTCGGCATGACACTTTGTACGAACGACTGAACGAAGCCCCCTCGGCGGCGGATAGTGGCGAGCTGGTGACCGAAATGCAGGAACAGAAAAGGCAGCTCCACGCGCTGCTTCGCACGATCTGGAGGCTGGAACAAAAAAAATACAACCTCATCAGTCGCATGCCCAACAGAGCCCTGAAGCGTGCGCTGGAGGCGCATCGGGGACGGAATTGGCATCTCTCGGACTGGATGGAGGCCGAGTGCGCGGGCGCCGGGGGCTGCTGCGGGCGCCGGTGTGGCTGCTGCAGGCGCCAGCGCAGTGAAAAGCGACCCCATCACCGCAGCCATTGCACGTCGGCGTGTCTGTGCTGCACACAGGCCCGGGGGTTCGAGATCAATGTCGCCCACTACATGGAGGACCCGATGATCGGCAAGTTGCCGGAGCTGAGGTCCCCGTGGGATGACTATAAGATCGAGTTGATGCATGCGTACATCTGGGGGGATTGAGCCATGGGGACTGGTTTTGCTTGGGGCCGGATGAGGGCTGGTTGCCGCCTCCTTGACGATTTATGCCGTATTGCTCGATGTCCGCGTGTTGTTTTTTCTTTTTTTTTTCTGTTTAAAAGAGAAAACAGGGGAAGAAAGAGAGGGAGATGATTTGTCTATGTAGTTAATGTCACTACGATGATCGATGAAGAATGAACCTGCAGACTGTCTTTTCACACCCTCCACCACATCCCAGATCGTGGAACTGGGAGGTCTGTGGCAATTCTAGAAGCCTAGGTCCTAGATGGCGATGCCTGATACCTTCTGCTGCAAGCAGATCCTGCTGAAGGACTATTCAAATAGTCTATCGCCACAGGAGGATGTCATTGACCCCTGGCAACCCGGTTAGGGCCGGGCCGGGCAAGGGACGGTTGGCGAAGAGCCGATGAGGCGAACCCAGCATCTCACTAAAAAAGTACAGCAGCACACGGTACACCACTCAAGATAAGTACTATTCATGCAGAAAGAATATATTACAATCACACCACCGCAACAACTATCTGTTCCCATCAGACCAGCCCCTCAAAGCAAGTCCAAGCCTTAGAAAGACGACGGATGATGGGTGACGACCGACTAGCAGCCATTAACCCATCAAGCCACCCGCTTCTTCGCTCTCGACCGCTTATTTGGTCTCGACATCAGCAAAGGTGTCCTTGTTGATCACAACCGAGTCAAGGACCCAGGTCTTTCCGCTGTCCGGGGTGGTGAACCCGTTGGAGCTGGAGCCGCTGTACAGGTCCAGGGTGGTGCCGAAGGCCTCGTTCTTCTCGCTCAGGGTGATGGTGATGTTGTTCCAGCCTACATCAATCAGTATTGCGCCCGATGGTCAAATGATGGAAGCGAGAGGGAGGGGGGGCTTACTGTAGGAAGCGAGGGTACCGCAGTCACCGGAGCCGGTGTAGCACTCGTCACCGGAGTAGAGGTACTGGAGGGGGTGGTCGAGGGCTGTTTGGTCAGTACGGTTGAAAGAGATTGTGGGGGAAGGGGGGGGGAACTGACTGTCGCTCTCCTTGGAGACGGTCTTGCCGTCAATGGAAACGACCTGGTAGACCTTGTCGTCCTCAACGTAGACTGCTCTCATTAGTCATGTCACAATAGAGCTATCAATCAGACCTACCCTCGAAGTCGATCTGGGAGTCCTTGGGGACGGTCACGTAGGCCTGGCCGTTCTGGCCGTCTGCGATATGGTTAGTACGGCGGTACGGTTGCTGTGAAACAATGAGTCTTACCGGGAGTGTAGGTGCTGGCAGCAACACACCACTCGGAGTCGGAGGCAGGGCAGCCCCTGTGCCGTTAGCATAGTCCAACTTTCTCCCAACATCCGGCATCTGCTTCACACTTACTGAGACTCGTTGTCCGGAGACCAGTTCAGCAGAGGCTGGTACAGGTCATCGTCGTAGGAACCGGCGCTCGCAGAGACACCGACCCACAGGGAAACCCAGACCTCGTCGTCCGAGTTCGAGACCTCGACGTCCGAGGGGACGGAGGGGGCGACCAGGGACCAGGTGGCCTTGGTGATGTGACCGGCGGAGGGAGGGCCGGTGTAGAACCCGTTTCCGAAAGCCCAGGCGTCGCTAGCGACGGCGGCGGCACGGGCGGCAAAGGCCAGGGGGACAGCAGTGTAGGAGTAACGCATGTTGAAGGTGGGTTGTGGAAAGAGTGTGAGGCGAACCGGTCGCGTGAAAAGAAGGACTGAGAAAAAGAGTGGGTGAGTTGGTGATGCAGAAAGAGTCGACAGAGCCGGGCAGAGCGCAAGATATAAGAGGATCCCCGAGAGAAAGGCTGGACGGCCTGCCGTCGTTCTGGCACGAAGATTGTATCAGGGGGACGGTGGAGCCCTACAAGGGCGAGGACCCACTGGCAGGCCGTTCAAGCTTGTTTGAAGATGAAACACTAACCTCAGTGATTTAAGCTTGCTTGGATCCAAGCCTTTTAGCGTCCAGGCCAGCGGCAGCATTGGACGGATAAACTCTTCCTAACCCGTCTGTCTCAACCTCAACCAGACAGGGTCGTTCACGGCTGCCGGCACTCGTAGGGCATTCGTGTCGGCCGCACGGACCACCCCCTGATTGATTTCTGTGAGCCCTTGACCACACGCCCTTAATATCGACTTCATTTACGGCAATCCCCCTGGTGATCCTGGGCCTCGGAGCGAGTCACAGTCCACGGTATCCAGCAGACTACTGCCAAGATGTAATTATTGCGGACATCAGTCCTAGATATCTAATGCTTCAAGGGCGACACCGTTGCAGGCTCAGCCCCGCTGGCGCCAACGGTTAGCAAAGTAATCATGACTGATGATAATGTAATGTAAACCCTGCCCCAAGTAATATTATCAGCTCGCACATAATGGTTCTGCCTTCTGCAACTCCAATCTGCACTGACCCCTGTTCGATTTCGGGCAATTAGAAGTCGCTGTCAGCGTCTCAGACATATAAACACGTTCGGAGCTCGGACATCAGGCCGGTGGGAAATTCAGGCTCTCGTCGTGATCAAGTCATTCAAAAACCCGGTCCTGGACTGGTTGCCACATATTGGCTTAATGTCGTGTCCATGGTGGAGCGCATCACCGGGTCTTCCAGGCTTGACACCTCGCATTGCGGGTCCGAGCTAAAGTGCTTCTAGCCTTCTAGCGTTCTAGATTGTGGCATGAGAGGGTTGCTTACGGTAATATCCCATGCCGGCGAGTCAGTGCCTCCAATAGGAGGGCCAAGGTAGACCATGCTCATTTGGCGCTGTAGTGACTACCTAGACTGTCTATTGCCGGTGCCTCCGGACGGCCAGTCGGCAGCAATATCACGGCCGCCGTGCTCGCCAAACAGCCACAAAATCATCACTCATGAAAGACAGTCGATTGGGTCGTCCAGCGATCGCCAACTCTCCGCTTCACCCCTCCTGTGCCTGCACCTGCACCATATCCGGGGACTCCTCTTGCGGGGATCCGGCCCGAGGAGAAAGCTCGGACATGCCTCCGCCCCAGAGAGCAAGGGAATGTCGTTTTTCCACCAGCTTTAGCACCTCCTGCAAGTACCGGCGTTCCGGTCCAGCGTCCGGGAAGATCTCCCAGGCAACCCGTACGGGAAACACCAGCCGGTTGATCATATTCCCGGCCGCGTTTTGGATGTACCACTCGAGGGACCGGCAGATCCCGCATCCCATGGCGTACTGGTCCAGGGGCCCCACGCGACCCTCTGGCCGGGTGTCCACGGACGACAGCACCAGTCGGATGGAGTAATAGAGGCACATCGTTTGCGCAAGACGCAGGTCCGGATAGACGAACGTGGTCGGGGTCATCACCCCGCCGGTACGGAAGTCTCGACACTGGAACAGTGGAAACTGGTCACTGGGAACGACTTCTACTTCCTGCGGTGGCCCGTCGGGGTAGCTGTCCACCCACTGGACTTTCCACCGGCGGAAGCGCTCGGTAAGGTCGGCGACCCCGTCCCACAGTGCAACCTGCTTTACGGTAATCTCGTGAACGCTGGACAAGTTCGAGCCGAGGGTTGCTTGAACGTCGTCGAATTGCCCGAGTAAAGCTGGGACCTCGACTGCCAGATCCAGGAGATAGTGAAGGATGTCTCTCTTGCTTGTGTTCGCTGACCACGGGAGGTTGATCCATTCCTCGGCGGCGAGAAAGCAGGGTCTACGGGTGATGAACGAAGCGGAGACCTGCACTGGTTAGTACACGTCGCATAGACCATATCAAAAAGCATACCCAGAACGGTCGGAGTTCGGTGTACAGCAGGTGTTCGACACCATGGACATGATTCTCCGGGCCGCGATGCTCAATCAAACGCATGGCACCATGGACATGGGCAAGCAGCGACCCTTGAGTCGTTCTTTCGACACTCTGCTGTCGTCAGCATCACACCGTCGATCAGGACCCAGGGACGCACCTCAAATGCCATCAGCAGCATAACGGTCACTAACGTCGACTCGGCCTTGCTGCGCTCCGGATCTTGCAAGGCCTGCTGCAGACTCCGCAGCACGCGGGGATAGAGGCGGAACCCCGATGCCTCGAGGTCCTTGTCCTGGATGATCCGACCAAAATACGCCGTCGAGACGGATTCAAACGCGTCCATGAGGATGGGCGAGAACATGCGAATTCCCGCGGCCCGCCGCACCGCACCGGCTTGACCTGCCTTGGTGCTGACCTGGGGGCTGAAGGCATCCACGAAGCGCTCGATGAACACGTCCAGCATCGGCTTCGACGATCCCAAATGACAAACCGCTCCATAGCTCGAGTCCTCGCTGTCTTCGGACGAACTCCGACTGGACGCATGGCGACCCGACCGATAGTCGGCCTCGTCCTCGTCTATCCTGCCATCGGGGTCGTGTGAGCCGCGTGGGCGAGTCGTCACAGCACCTGTCCAGCCAACATTCAGCTCCGGGCACCCTCCCACCCACTCCAACGGATACCCACCTTCGGATCCATTTTCCGGTTCCAGCGGAAACGCCTCCCCATGTGTTCTGCCGCGGGTCCTTCGGACGTCGGCGACAATACGGTTGGTCACGTCGAGCGGAGCGGAGCGGATGGCATCAAACAGGGCCTGCAGCTGCGCTAGACGGCGTGGCTTTCGGGCGCGGCGTTCTAGAAGGCAAAATTACCACATCAGCAACAAGCACGTCGGCAACGACCGAAGCCATGCACCCCAGGGTGGGACACGCACGTCGGCTATTAAGCGTCGCCGTTAGCTCACGGATCTCGTGCCGGAGGTTCCGGATCTCGTCCGTCTGACTGATGGGCTGAAGATTATCGTCGGGGTCGGTATCATAGGCGCACTTGGAGGGGTACCCATGGGCGCAGCATGCATGGCAGGGTTGGACGCGATCACACTGTTTGTCGTCACGATCGTCAATTCAGATCACGCATGCAGGCGGGCAGATATGTTGCACGGGCCTCCAGGCAACCAGACGCGTCGAGAACCCCATTGGGTGACTTGATTATGTCTGATCTGGCTAGGTGGTGTGTTTGTTTTTTGGGGGGGGAACGAGGGGGCAACCAGGGCACCACGACAGTGATGTGATAAACCGATCGGGACGGGACGTACCTTGACCTTGCGGAAGCGGCAGACTTTGCAGGAACGCAATTGACGGGCCAGTTGACTGGAGGTCAGGGCCGACCTGGCGCGGAAGTGGTCGGAGGCCAAAACGGCGTGCGGCTGGGGGTTCACCATGAGCGGCGGGTGTATCTAGACCTCAGGCAGCGGATCAGGTTCGCGAGGTGACGCCAGACCAGGCAGGAGGTGACGGACGGGCGAGCGTCAGGGAGACTGGGGCCAACGGTACGGCAGGATCGCAGCCCTCGCGATCTGGGGGCGCAGGACCGAATTGGCCCGAAATCCCCTTTCGCTTATGGTAGGCCAATGATGTGGGGGGGGGGGGGGGGGAGTGGATTCGGTGGAGAGTCAGCGACCGAGGCAGTCGTGGAGGGAGCTGAGAGCGGCATGGTAGTGGTGGAGGGGCTGTGGTTCCAGATTGATACTCCGTACGGAGTAGATAGAAGCAGGTTCTGTCTGAACCATGTAGCAGGTGAGTGAGGATGGGACGGGATGTGTCGGTGAGGAGGGGAGGAAGAGGTTGGAGGGGGGAATAATAATGCAAGGGAGGAAGCACATAAGTTGCATACTTTGTACATGATGGTGCTGACTAACCCATACATCCACCTGCATTCCTGTTGCCTTGAGGATCAGGCGTCAGTTGTCAGGTGTTAAGGCCTCAAGGTGTCCAGCTGTAAGGTGTCCAGGCATCCATCATTGCCGCTCAGCATCCAAACCCTATCTGGTTGAGCCAACAACTTTCCCCCCCAAAACAGTCCGGTCACCCGGGATGCTGCAGGATCATCTACCTATCTACTAACTATACCTACCTAACCATCAAGACATCACCCCCATCCATCCATCATGGCGCATACCAACCAACCAGCCAGACCCCGACCCCGACCCAGCACCCAAACCCTACCAGACCAATCACACAGACTATCTACCACCATCCCCCCATCCCGTGCCATCGCCACAGAACACCGTGACCCTGTTCAGCCGTGATCGATGAGATGATCGCGTCATCGCCGCACCGGGCCATGACAGGGTCAGCTCGACGCAAAGGATCACCCGAGCAGCGAGCGACAGCTTATTCCCCAGCTTCCCCCCGCTCGCTCGCACGCTCCTCCGACATCCAGGCTCAGTGATCCCTGCTCCGTGCTCCGTGCTCCGTGCCCCGTGCTCTCGGGGCAGAGGATCAAGTGGGTATGGATGAATGGGTATTCTGCACCCCGGATGGGCAATCTGACGGAGTGAATTGGGTTGGTTGTGTGGAGTGTGGAGTGTAGATGTAGAATGTGGGGTACATACATAGTTTATTTGCTGGTAGGTTTCGTCACCAATCAGGGTGATATGTATAAGTAAGTATATATATATGTAGCGGACCATCTCGTCAAACTCCATCCCACTGCATACATACCTAGCAAAGTGGCAGACAGACACGGCCACTTTTTTTCTCTCCCTTTTTCGCACCCCTCCTGCCTCCCATGGAGAAATTCATCACCGACCATGAGGCCATGGGCGAAAAGGCCGAGATCGCCCACGAGGAGGTTGTGCAGATCGCCCAGCTGACCGACGAGGAGAAGGTGCTGGAGAGGACGCTGCGTCGGCGGATTGATTCGCTGATCATGCCGTTGGTTATTCTCGTTTACCTGATGAATTATATCGATCGGTGGGTCCTTCCATTACAAATCAGGGTATGGCCCCCGCCTGCGGACTGAGGCTGACGCAGGATAGAAACAACTACGCCGCGGCCAAGCTGCAGGGTCTACAGCAGGACCTGTCGCTGGTCGGGTCGGACTACGAAACGGGCCTCTCGATCCTCTTCGTCGGATACATCCTGATGCAAGTCCCGTCTAACATGCTCCTCAACTACATGGGCCGCCCGTCGCTGTATCTCGGCTTCTTCACGAGCGCGTGGGGGCTCGTCTCCGCGCTGACCAGCCAGGTGACCAGCTACGGGGGCATCGTGGCGTGCCGGTTTATCCTCGGCTTGGTGGAGGCGCCGTTCTTCGCGGGCGTGCTGTTCTACCTGTCCAAGTGGTATACCAAGAAGGAGCTGGCGCTGCGCATGAGCATCTTCTACTCGGGCTCGCTGCTCAGCGGGGCCTTCGGGAACCTGATCGCGGCGGGGATCCTCGACGGCCTGGCTGGCAAGCAGGGCATGTCGGCGTGGCAGTGGCTGTACATCATCGAGGGGTCGATCACCGTGGCCATCGGGCTGGCGATCTGTCTCGTGCTGCCGGATTTCCCCGAGACGTGGAAGCTGCTGACGCCGGAGATGAAGCATGTCGCGAACCGGCGGCTGGCCATCGAGGCGGCCGAGGCGGACGTGGACGAGGGCGGCAGCGCGACGCAGCTGAAAGGGCTGAAGCTGGCGTTCACGGACATCAAGACGTACGCGCTGGCGATCATATACATGGCGATCGCGGCGGCGAGCGGGTTCCAGAACTTCTTCCCGACGCTGACGGAGACGCTGGGGTACAGCCACACGATCTCGCTGCTGCTGGTGGCGCCGCCGTACGTGTTCATGGTGTTCTACAGCCTGCTGCACTCGTGCCTGTCGGATCGGTATGAGCATCGGTTCTGGTTCCTTGTGGCGCCGATCCCGCTCACGATCGTGGGGTTCATCATCTTCATGGCGACGGACTCGTTCGGGCCGCGGTACTTCAGCTTCTTCCTGATGATCTTTGTGTTCGCGCAGAACGGCACGCTGTATTCGTGGATCGCCAACGCCATCCCGCGCCCGCCCGCCAAGCGCGCCGCCGCCTACGCCTTCATCAACTCGGTCGCCAACTCCGCCAGCATCTGGACTCCCTACACCTACAACGATGCCCCCTACTACCGCCTGGCCATGGGGGTGTGCATCGGCATGCAGATCCTGGGCGCCGTCACCGCGACGTTCCTGTATCTGCATCTGCGGGCGTTGAACCAGCAACTCGAGCGGCTGGAGAACGAGGCCACGATCCTGACGGAGAGAGAGCTTCGTCGCCTGCAGCAGACGGCGGACGTGGAGGGCATCGATATCGCCGCCGCGCGACGGCTCCAGAAGGGATTCCGATATGTGACATGATTGATATCTAGATCGATTGATCCAGGAGCTGGGCTGGGCTGTCACTTCATTAGTTTGCCGGTGGTGTTGAACTAGCGTTCTGCGATTGTCTTTCCCGGATGACAGCTGCTACTATATCCTCGGTCGGGCATAGTGCCCCTTTCATCCCTTCATTTGACCCTGGTCCCACTCAGTAGAAGGCTGTAAGAACTTTTCTTAAGAAGTAAGAACTTTTCTTAAGAAGACTTTATTGAACTTTCACTTTCTTATATAAATTAGATACAAAAGTGAGATGAAAGTGAGAGAAAGATAAGAGAAGTAAAAAATAAAAAAATTAAAAATTAGATAATTAAATAAAAACTTTTCTTTAATCTTTTAGAAAGACTTTACTGAACTCTTATTTTCTTATATAAATTAAATATAAAAATAAGATAAAAGTAAGATAAAGATAAAAAAAAGATAAAAGAAAGATAAAAAAAGTAATAAAAAAAATTAAAAATTAGATAAATAAGAAAAAGATTAAAAGCTAATTTAATTTAATTAAAATTTATTAAAAAATTAATTAAAAATTAAGAAATCTTTTTATTTATATTTATAGCCAATTGACTATTAAAAATATATAAAAATATATAAAATTATATAAAAATTATATAAAAATTATATAAATAGAACAGGACCGAGAATAATAGAATTAATAATTAAATAAAAACTAAAATAATTAATAAAAATAAGATCTCTTGCTTCGCTGTGAAATAGATAAAACTTAAAATTATTAGTCTGCTAACTAGTAATCTAAGATAATTAATTAATCTAAGACTGTAAACTGGCAAGTCTTAAATAGCTAACTAATAGATCTTAGATAGTAAACTGGCCAGTCTGTCTATATTATTAATATATTCTTATAGTTTTAATAAGATAAAATATCAGAAAAACTGGAGTAAATAAATTATTAAAAATAGAAAATAATAATAATAGAATTTAATAAATTATTATATTTAACTATTGTGATAGAATAACCCAGCTATTGGAATAAAGATCATCGGGATGACATATTATAGTGATTGTGAGAGTTGTGTTATCGAGATAATATATTATAGTAATTATAAGAGTTGTAAGATTATTAATAGTAATTCTATATCTCTCTGATATTTATAAAATACTAATCTTCTTATAAGAAGCTACTAATTCTTTAAGAATCAGTCTATCTTGTAAATATAGATTATCTTTGTTATTATTAAATAAATATATAATATTTTATAATTAATTTCTTATCTAGTCAACAGACTTTTTATCTTAATAAATAGATTCTATTATATTTTAATTCTTCTTTTTTTAACTATCTAAGAAAGATATTACTTATTAAAGATAATAAAAAAATAGAAGCACTCAGTAATTAAATTAATTTAAAATTCTTACTGAATATTATTTTTATTATTAAAGAGATTTAATAGCTAGAAGATTATATTTATTAATTAAAATAAGCTATTAACTTATAGTAAAGAATAGCTTATTTTTAAAGAAATAGCTTTCTAAGCAAAATCTTCTTAAGATACTATTAATTCTTCTCTAAATTAGAAAAGAATAAAAAAAAGATTAAGTTTAAAAATATTTCTTGCTTTGCTCTAAATTTTAATCTCTAAAAATATTAAGAATAAATTACTGATTTAAAATATATATTCAGAGATATATTTAAAAAATATTTATTAAAGAAACACAAGATTCTCGCTGCTATCAGCTATATAGACTCAGTATATAGACAGAGATAATATTATTTTATAGATAATAAGAGTCCAGAAGAGAGATAATTTCTTAAGAAATTATAATCTTAATTTAAAGATTAGATTCTTATACTAATTTAAAACACTGCTATTCTTTAATCAGATATTATAATCTAATTTAAACAGACTTATTAATAATACAGTCAGGATCTGTAAGAGTCTTATACTTATTTTAATATTTTAGAGCAATACTTTTCTTATTAAATAAAAAAAAAAAGAGTCTTATTCTACTTTACTAAGCTATTATTAGATCTAAACTATTATATTTAAGAATATATTCTCTATCTATTAGAGAAGTAGAATAAAATAATAATTATTACTACTTATTATTATAAACTATAAGAAAATAAAAAAAAATATAAGTAAAATAATAATTAATTCAGTAATTATAAGCCATGCAAGCGCTTCTAAGAAATTACTAGTAAAACTATTAAGAAAGATATTCTAAATCACAGAGAAAATCTTATCAGAAAGAATAATAATTAATTATAATACTTTATATATAAAAATATCTAATATCTTATAAATTAATACTCTATTAAAAATAAAAAAATTTAATCTGCTAGAACCTATCAATTCTTATTAAATTTAGAGAAAAAAATAGAAAAGTTAAGATAGATCTTATAATTTTAACTTCTTTATCTATAGTAGAGACTATATATTATTTTTATATTTCTATCTATATTTAAAATAATCTTAAAATCTTTGCGAATCTGAATAGCTGCGCCGAAATAGATATTATTAGTTATTAATTTATTAAAGCCTATAATCTTTAATATATTCTAATTACTGTACTAAAGATTAAAGCTATTAATTAAATTATTACTTCTATTTATAATATATAAAAAGTCTCTATTACCACTATTAATTCGCGAGAAGATATTTATATTTTTAAATAATATTATATAGAGATTAATCAAGATCTCTAACTAAAAGACAGTTCTATATTATTTTTAATAATTATATTTTATAATCTATATATTATCTTATTAGTATAGAACTGTCAGTAATAATTTAGTATATTATCTATTTTACTACTTTTTATTACTTAATTTACTAAAGTAACTTAAAACTTAGTAAAAATATATATTATTATTAAGCTTTCCAAAGATATCTGGCTATCAGAAAAAAAATTTTATAATTTATTATTAAATTCTAAGATAATTTCTGTTGAACTTAAGTAATTTTAAAATATATTTTTTATAGATTTCTCTTAACAGCTATCTTCTTATAGCCCTGCAGATTATACTATTAATATTAAATCTAATAAAATATTCTCTTATAATCTAATATATCTCTTATCCGAAGCCGAACTTAAGATTTTATAAAAATATATTAAAAAGAATCTGAAACTAAATTAAATTTAATCTTTAAAAAGTTCTACTAAAGCTTCTATTCTCTTTATATTTAAGAAAGATAATAGCTTATATCTTTATATAGACTACAGAGATTTTAATAAGATTTTTATTAAGAATTACTATCTCTTATCTTTTATTTCAAAGATTCTTAACAGGGTTTCGGGAAGTATCTATTTTTTAAAGATTAATATTAAAAATATATACTACTGAATCTATATTAAAAAAAATAATAAATAAAAAATAATATTTTATACCCGATACAGCTACTTTAAATATATAATTATATTATTTAGATTAACTAATACTCCAGCAATTTTCTAAAACTATATATATACTATACTTCAAGAATTTCTTAATAACTTTTATATAGTATATCTGAATAATATTCTTATTTTTTTATTAGATAAGAAATCTTATACAAAATATATTTATTAAGTTTTAGAAAAACTTCGAGAAGCTTAGCTCTATATAAAACTATTAAAATATTTATTTTACTAATCTTAAATTAAATTTCTAAAATATATTATTAACTCTGACAGAGTATCTATAAATTCTTAATAAATAAATAATATTATTTTATAACTAATTTCTGAAAGTTATTATAATATCTAGATCTTTCTTAGATTTTATAATTTTTATTAATAATTTATTTAAGATTATTTTTATATTATCTTATCTCTTATTTCTTTGCTTTGTAGAATAATTAATAGACAGAAGCTAGAAAAGATTTATCTAATCTTAATTAAATAAATTACTTTCCGCTGTCTTATTATTATTTTTTAATAAATATTTTTACTAATATATTTTAATTCTATAAAATCCCGCTGTTTAGAAATTAATATATTAAAAAAAGAGATAAGTAATATTCTATTCTAATTTAATATTAAGAGTATATTCTATTTAATTATATTCTGATTCTATAAGTTCTCTAATACTGAGCTAAATTATAATACTTTAGATTAAAAGCTATTTATTATTATTTACTCTTTTAAATAATAATAATAATATTTAAAAGATATTTTTTAAATAATCAAGATTCTATCAGATTATTCAAACTTGTAATCTTTTATATATTAAATCCGGGTTAATAAAAAATAAATTTAATAACTTATAAATTTAATCTTCTATAATTTTATTATTAAATATAGAATAAAGAAATTAAATCCAGCAGATAGATTCTTTAGAATATCTTCTAAATCTTAAGTAAAATCTACTTCTTAAGAGAAACTGTTAATCCTGATTTAAATATAATTTATAGATATATTATCTCTGATAATAAAGAATCTTATTAAAGAAAAAATCTAGTTTAAATCTTAAGATATACAGAATTACTCTGGGTTTGATATCTGTATTATATTAAGCTTAAAGAATTCTAATAATTAAACTAATATAGAGACAGCTGACTGAGCTGCTTGAGAAAACTTATTTTAAAAGAGATTTATTTTTTAATCTACAGTATTATAAGTATATACTGCAGAAGTTTTATACTTAGATATATATAATTCTGAATTTTAAGAAATAATCTTATATTTATAGAATAATAATTCAGAGATATAATAATAAAAGACTGCTGTTTAATAAAAGTAATCAGACTAAAAATATTAAATTATTAAAATAACTAATTATATCTATTTTAAAAACTAATATTATATCTTCTCTTCTAAGATACTATATTAAATATTTATTAAGCTATATTATAATAATCTGTTAGTAAGATATTTTAGAAAGACTTAAATAGAAGCACTACTATATAGAAAGTTTTACTAAAATAGATTATAATATAATATAGCCAAATATATTCAAATTTATTTAATATATTAAGAAATCACTGCTTTAAAGTATTAATTATATAACAGTCTTAAATTATTACTAATTTTATTATATT